GCTGCATGTAAATGCTGACTAGTTTCTCTTAGTTTATTTTGGTATTCTTCGTTCTGTGTTGTTCCCTCTTTGTCGGCAGGGTTTATCATGTCGCTTTGCTTGACTTAGCTCAGTTAGTCATTATTTGATTGAATCGTCCTGAAAAATCACTCTATTTTTCAATAATTTTTGTAAAATCTTGTTCCTATTCGCTCTTTAAAAAGAGGTCATTTGTTATATTGCATGATTTACCGGTACTCAATTTACATGATACATTGTATAGAAACATTTGCAAGACTGAATCAGTGATTAGATAATTACATCAATACTTTTATCAAACCATGCTCAAATTTTTGTCACTAATCCTGATTATGTATATTATATTTACAAATGTAGTGCAATTTTATGTTGATGTGTATATGAGTAGATATATAGGTTTGGAGAAAGGACGTGCAAGGAAGTGACTTTGGATGTGCTATTATTTGTCTCATGTTAAAGTAACTGTGGTGAGAATTATTTTTTATGTGGTTCCATATGTATCAAAGTATTCATTTGATTTCAAGGTATGTGTTGTATTATGTTGTATTAATTATGCATGTTATATATCAGAGTATATGCTATATATCCCCTTTGTTGACCCAACATTGAAATACTAAACATTCCTTATTCTATCCCCCAACTGTTGGTGTGTGTGTGTGTTTTGGTTTTTACAGACATGTATCAATCAGATATGATCATTTACGTCTGGGGACCGACCTTTAAACGTCACCATCCTTGGCTGAATCAGCTTGTAACTTCCATTGTTAGCTGGAATACAGGCGCACGCCACAATGCCCAGTTTAAGAGGGCCCTGTCTTATAAAGAGTTCCAATTGATCCAAATTTATGACAAATCCTGCAAACTAACAAACTCCATTCTCAGAGCTGTAAATTTTTTCTTTTTTATTTGAATTGATCACAATTGTTTATAAGACAGGGCGGGCCCATGTCACCTGTCCCTAAAACTAAAAACCATATTTGATGACAAAAAACTTTGTTCACTTTTTTTTAAAGATATAGAATGATGAAAACGTGAATAGGATTTAGCAAATGGACTTGATAGTATTTGGTCTGTTATTTCATTGTAATATTTGCATGCTTGATTCATATATAAGTATTCCAAGATGAGTTTCCTTTTGTTAAAGTTTACTTCCTAAGGCCCATACATAACAATATTTATATTAATAGTGAATAATCTAGGAGTAAACTAAACTGACTTGCAAGAAACATGTCAGAATATGCCCCTAACTTGTATAAATTACAGTTAGTTTTTTAGCATAAGTATATTTATATATAGCTAATTAATTTTCCATCCGTATTATTGAATTTACAATATTTGCATTATTCAGACTTTAGGGAAGGGGTAAATGACCTCCCCTTTTCCCCTTCCGTGCCCCCTTATATACTAAACAAAAGCCCAATTTGAATTCCATATAAGAGGTCTGACCAGTCGGTCGCATCTACAAGAAGATGTAGTTTGAACAATTTTCATTTTTTTTCTATTTTTCAACCTTGTGTTTCACAGAGAATACTGGTATTACAGAGTAGCAGCAGCTATGTTTAGCTACAACGCGGGCTAGTGATAAATCAGTATTACATCTATCATAGTTTAATATTTTTCTAAAGATGGTTACCTCATCTCATCTTTTTACTGTCAGGTAATGATAAAAGGATGTAGAAGATATTGACATCCTTCCTACTTGTGGATACAGAATAAATGCCATCCATATCGAATATAAGTCTAACTGCATAGATACATATACCGCAATACAATATAAGTGGTATAAATGTATGTCTTTTTATATTAAACAATAGTTGTCTGTATTATAAAAAAAAATTAAAAAGGCAAGAGGAAAAAGGAGAAAAAAAGATGAGAAGGGGAGAACTACTGTGACTAACTATATATAGAAAATGTATAACTATAACAATATATAGACTTGTATATGATTATTATTTCCAAGTGTTTGCTAAAACTTGGACATTTAAAGGCTTTTTTATGAGCACTATAACTGAGTAAGGGCATCATTTTCTGTATGCCATTTTGTAAGTTGAAAGATTTATTTATATACACGATGATATAAAGGTTTGAGGATGTTTTTGCATATATGTTATGTGCAACTCAGAGAGGTTAGGCAATTCATTTATATCAAGATTTTCAATTAGAATGAATTATCATGGTAAATGTATTAACAGAAATCTTACTTTGATTTGTGTACCCGGTACATTCATTTCATAAATAGTTTAAGGTGAAAAAATTCAGTTACAGAAATATTTAGCGATCTATTAGTGACATGTATAGAGATGTGACTTCTGAAGTCTCAGTAGTATTATTATTGTATTAGATCATTTAATAACATTTTGAATGAGGTTTGTCTAATAATATATATGTAATAAACAATGGGAAAACATTCTAATGAAATATACTGACTCAGATATTTGTTTTTTGTCTCTTCATTCTTATAATCATTTTTTGTTATACATTGATCTCTTTATTGTTATACATATGCAACTATATTTTGATACAACTCTAGAACTGAGGGGGAAAACATCACATTTTTAGAGGCACACTCATTCAAGCAAACCCTGACTTTTTCAGTAATTTTTTAAAAATTAAATAAAAACAGAAAATTTGTGGATTCTATGTCATGCCATACAAGTGTTGATTTGCACCAGCAGAATATGAACTAGTGAAGAAAAAAATTAATGAAAATCCATGTTCTCTGCAAAATACAACTCAAAATTTAGAGACTTTGTTCACCGTTGTAGGACCCCTTGAACTTGAGCACTGGACCCAATGCTTTACCTAACTCTATTCTGTATGACAAACTATTTCAGGAGTAAATGTCACATCATTGTTGACATATGCCCATATGGGTCATGACTCATGAGTATTATTGAGTAGCTCGATTTCAATAGAATATTTTTCTTTCTCTCATTCTCTCTCTTTCTCTCCCTCTCACTCTCTCTCTCTCTCTCTCTCTCTCTCTCTCTCGTTCTCTATCTCTCTCTCACTCTCGTTCTCTCTCTCTCTCTCTTTCTTTATACACCTGTGTTCTAGGGCACTATATATTCTCCAATATGAATATCTTTGTAATTCCAGACACAATAGACCAGTTTACCATTATATTCAAATTTTAAGGATACTTCTTGAACATAACTTGTCTTTGACAGCCATAAATGTTGCCTGACATAGCAACAATAAACAGACCATTTAAAAAATGCATTGGAATTTGTTAAGTTAGCTATAATGGGCTATTACATTCACCTGTTCAAATAATTATATTTCAAAAGTCAGAATGTAAATTGCACACATAAGGTGTTGCTAGGTTATACAAACCTTACAACTTGTAATATAATGCGATTTGCACTCAGAATGTTGAGGAATATATCCATTTCATTGGATTACATTACGAAAATAGCCTTTTCTTGCAAGATGAATTTCATCAAGGATTTCCCTCCATGTAATTCTATGACACATAACAGGTGCTATAAATATTTTCAAAATTTGAATACTTTGAATACTATAGTAACTCTAGTCAAAATGGTGTGTTTCCTTATTTGGTTCTGTACTCGAACCTATTATACACAAATAAAAGCAGTTTTTCTACCCTTTTGTTTCATTGACAAAGAAGAGTGGGCTTTCACTCCCTGTGGAACCCCATGCCACTGTGCCTGGTATCTCCATATACGCATTTTATTTATTCAAAGGGATAGACATTGTTGTGCACGAGAGCATACATTTAACAATGGACTCTCTTCCATTCCATACATACCAGCTTAATGAGGTCATCCAAATAGAGAGAGAAAAGAAAGAGAGTGAGATTCCTACAACGGTATTACCAATTCCCGCCTAATCAGATGTTTGGGAATTAAGTTTGATCTAAATGCCCTCTGTAGGATGGCTTTGTATAACAAAATGATGAAACAGTACGAGATTAGGCTCAAGCGAGGCAAAAACATCCTGTTTATGTCAGACTCAATTGACGTTTTAAATGAGATTGCTCAGCCTCAAAGGATGGAAAAACAACATATTTTGGCAGTTGACGATGCGTTACTCATCTCCCCCGCTCTTCTCTCTCTCTCTCCATCTCTCTCTCTCTTCATCTCTCTCTCTCTCTCTCTCTCTTTCTCTTCCTCTCTTCCTCTCTTTCCCTCTCTCTCTCCTGTCTCAGTGCCCTTCAGCTACTCTCCGATTCCATTTATCTCTCTTTAAATTCATCGTTCTGTCAACTTGTCTGAACATTCATTTATCACATTTTTAATGAAAAAAATTTAATTAAAAAAAATCTGATGTATAACTTTAAATGCCTCAAAATCAAGGGAGTGCAAAAATCAAAGGAGTAACAAAGGATTTAAAAAAACTGTCCATATATGTCATGCTGTCCTGCTGTTCAAACTTCCTGTAATTTGTTTGGTTTCTTAACCACAAACATGTACAGGCATTCCATCACCTTCCGAAAATACACTCATTTGTCTGAAAAGTGGGTAGCAAAATCCTTATATCATTCAGATTCTTAGCATTATTTGGCACTATTTTACGAATGTATTAAGTTCCCATCAACCCTACCCTCTTTTCTCTTTTTTGACTTGTTTAGGTTTATGATGTTTTGCTTGTTGGTTTTATACTAATTTATTCCCATTTCCTAACCATTAGTGAAAATATCAAAACAGGTTTTGTATACCATGTACCACACCCAACTATATACATGTTATACACAAACTTCAAACATATCCCTTGAGTACTCATAAAAGGTACTCTGGTTCAAGTACGTTCTGGAAGAAAAAACAACTTCTGTCATTCTATACGAGTATATGACTAATCCTAATCATATACATGTACTTATCTGACAAAACAATATTGAGTGGCAACACCCAACAACAGGATGTCCTATTCATTTATGGTTAACACACAAACACACTCACCATGACAACAAAACAAAACATAGAATATTATTTTGTATCAACAATTTAATGAATATATTTTTTTTTTCTTTTTTGTGTCTTATCTACAACCTCATAATATATTCATAACCATCAAATTTCACCTTCCAATATATGCATACAGTATATACAAATCACCAAAGTGATACATTGATGCTCTTTGTAACAGCAAAATGTTTTGTGAAGACTCATGGAAATTTGAAGGCATTGAAATTTGAAAAATTTATAGTGATTTTATTACAAGTCTGGACTTTTGACGGTAATTTGAAAGACAATATAAGTGTTATCATTGGAGCTTACAATTGAAAAAGATAATGACAAATAATTGTATTAATAAATGCATCGACAAGACTTGAAATTGGGTAATAAACATGCCTTCTAGTTATGAACTTTTGAAAAATTTAGATCACTGCATGACGAGTTGACGACCTCCCTTCAGCTAAAGTCTTGTGATTTGTCACCAATGACTTGCGATAATTCAATATCTAGTACATGTACATGACACAAATTAATCTTGTACTAATAACAGATAATGAATTGCGATAATTCAATATCTAGTACACTGTACATGTACAATTGTACATGACACAAAATAATCTTGTACTAAAAATCTACAATGTACATATACATGTACATGTAGCTTCACAGTGACATGTTCATGTTTTTGCATTTTAAGGTCACTCTTCGCTGCTTAACAGTATGACATTGAGATCCAAAAAGTACAACAAAAATTGAATTACCAACTTGTACCAAGGCACTGCATCATGAAATAGAAATACTGAATTTTTGTTGGTACAAAATGTAATGAAAGACATCTACAGAACCACTAGGGTATGAGCTCGAAGATCAGGGCCCTGTTTCACAAAACTTGATATCAATAACTGTTATAAGCTACTAAAACCGTATGATCGGCTTAAGGCAAATTTGTTATTGATAAAAAGTTTTGTGAAAAAGGGCCCAGATGCAACTTTTCTGTCTCTTTGGTGACTTTTTTCATCCTGCACACAAAATATTGGAGAATACTTGTACATGTATGTACTGTATGTACATTTATCGCAGTTTGTCAAGTAATTGAATCTGCTAAAACGTGAGTAAGTTTGTCATTCAAGATCTCTGATTTACATTTTATTAATTTTTTTTATTAATTGCTCAATGCATCATTATGTTCAATGCCATACATGTATGTACATTCACTATGACAATCTTTGAAGCAGTTGTAGTTTTTTTTATCCGAGCCTTGAACAGTTTGAGACAAATGGAAGAAAACCAAAAAGGCACCAAGATGCAGTCATCTTCCAACACATAATGTACACTGTATATTGTATAGATTACACTCAGATCATGTTTCCATAGTTACCATGTACTGTGTATTTGTAAACTTCACAACAAGGAAATAGAAAACAAGCAAAAACACAAGTGAAAGCGTTGGCAAAGAAATCCCCCTTTTTCACCTCTTGGCAATGTAAAGAACATACACCCATCACAGCTGAAAGAAAATGTACAAAAATTTCACCTCCCAAAACCCTGAATAATTTCTTAACAAATTATCAATTGCAAAAGTTACACACAATAAAATCTCATGATGGCATTTCAGTTTGAAAAGGCACATTGTGAAAAAAAAGTATATCATGTTTTAAGAACAAACATTTTAATAAGGCAATTTTCTGAAGGTCGCTTCATTACAAAATAGGCACACTTGAAAAGGATGTCGATCTCTCTCTCTCTCTCTCTCTTTCTCTCTATCTCACACACACTTACACACACACACACACACACTTAATTTACAAGAATATGCCATTCACAGTAGCTTTTTTAGCTTATTTCCATAATGCTCTTGTTCAGTTTGTATTGCTTAGTTTCAAACATGAAAGCATCCACAATCAATTCCATAAGTATTACGAAGTGAATCACCATTAAAACTAAGAATCCTAATTAACTTTGGAAACTGGGAGGAAAACAAACAGAGCCTTTCCTACATTTATACTATATACATGTACATACATTCTACGCAACTTTTGTGTAACTTTCTTATGAATTACCATTTCTTAAGAAAAATACTAGAGCTGTTGCAATGCGTTGTTGTCTACAGGTATGCATGTACAGGTACATATCGCCTACTTGAATGAGCCAGAAGGGTCCTAAGTTGTATCCTTTTTATACCGGTATAGAGTTTACTCCCTTCTGGCTCTCCACTGGGGGATAATCATTTTAAATCAAGACAAAGAAGAGAGTAAGCAACAGAGCATAATTTTGACTAATGCCTCAGTCACACCTTTGCGTATTGACTTGCATACATGTATTGCTGCGTATTTATGGCAAGCCGTTTTGACGTTTATTCCTATTTCTCGATATCAAGAATTACCATTGCTTAATTACAACGGATAATCATTCCTTCATATCAAGAATTCATTTCTTGATATCAAGAAAAAGGAATAAATGTTAAAACGGCTTGCCATAAATACACAGCAATAAGGCACACAAATACGCAAAGGTGTGACTAAGACATAAGAGCCGAACAGGTGTTGATTCCCTCTCATAAGAATATGTTTGAAAAAGGCAATAACACCCTTCTGGCGCTCAAAAGACAATAAAATTATTCAGTGTTCCACAACAGAAATAATTACAAATCTATATTGCATATTTAGTGCTTTGCTTTATCACATCATGGATGTGCATTAAGCTTGACTGCTTAAAATGATAAACAAGACTTATTTCCAGGTACTAACTCAATTACTCAATATGAAACACTCATCCCAGAAAGAAAAGCTGTTCCATTTACTAGGCCTAATGTCTATTCTATTTATAAAAAAATTCTCTGGGTAATTAGACGTGGTAATACAGGAGAGCTCAGCTGGCCAAATTATCTCTACAAAGAAAATGGTTACATCCGCCTGGAGATGTACAAATCTCAAGACACAAGCCACAAGGTGTAGCGGAGTTCACAACCTCATGTGCGCGACCTTGGTATCTGAGGTCCCCGCGGGTTGCATCTTCAATGTAGAGTTACGTTGTGGTAAATGCATCTGGTCCATATGCTCTTCCTGCAATGTACACATCCCTCCTATGGTCTTCTTGAAATGTAAATTCCTTCATGTACAAGCTCACTTTATAGCTCAAAAGTTTACTGAAACATATGCCTTTTATTTAATAATAAAAGCTTAGTTTGACTGACATAGTTTGATCATTGTCCGATGTCTTCGAAGTTTAGAAGATCTTGCATGAGAGCTTCTTCTTGCGCTTCTTACTCTGCAGTGCTGCCCTTGTGGCCGTCTCAAAGACCTCCCTGACCCCGTCGTTGGTCTTGGCCGAGCACTCCATGTACTTGGCGGCATTGATCTTGACGGACATCTGGTGGCCTTCGTCGTACGTGACGGGGGTCTGCTTGGTCCTCTGCAGCTCCATCTTGGTGTTATCGTCGTTACGGAGGTCCTTCTTGTTACCCACCAGGATGATGGGCACGTTGGGACAGAAATGCTTGACCTACATTAGACAGGAAGAGATGAAAGAACAGTAATAAACAAAAATTCACAACTAAAAAGACCTCCCAGATCATTCTTTTTTCCCTTAAGTATAACTCTGATTAAAGTCATAATCAGATAAAGAAGTTGAATTTCCTCAACTGTGCTACAGTTGCACATCTACAGTTGTACATGTACATGTACCGTAGGTATGATAAAGAGTAGTTTCTTATATTTCTCATAAAATGAAAGAGATTACAGTATGTTAAGAAATTACAAATTGACCACCTCACTGCCTAAATATCAGTACCAGTCTGCAATTCTTAAATTCTTACAGGGGGGGGGGGGGGGGGGGGGCTACAGTCGACCCCAACCTACATGTACATGACATCCAAGACATCCTCACATACAAGTATGCATGTACATGATTCACATATTTATATTTCAAGTAGAAATTGTAAACCTATAGGCTATAATTAAACCCTTTAACAATTGGTTGATGCAAAGTATTTTGGGGGTCTTTACCTCTGGTGTCCATTTCTCCGGGATGTTCTCCAAACTGTCTGGATTGTCGATAGCAAAGCACATGAGTATAACGTCTGTGTCTGGATATGAGAGCGGTCTGAGTCTGTCGTAGTCTTCCTGACCTGCTGTATCCCATAATGCTAATTCAACCTGGATAAAAGAAAGAAAGAAAGAAATAAGAACAAAGAGTTAGTTAACTTTTCATGTTAAATGATTTATTCCTTATCCCAAAAAAATTTCATACAAGTTCATGACCAATAAACATGTATGTCTTGGACTGTCGGTCCCCTGGTTGCTTGCTTACACGTACAAGACAGGTATACACTTTCTTTAATAGCAGTCAGGTAAAACAAACAAACAACAAAAACAAAATATTGGAAATCATATACGTTTATACACTTCTCTTTAGTTTTTCTTCCTTTTTAATTTTTCTTTTTTTCTCTAAATCATATTCTCATTGTATGACTCAAGGTTGAAAAGTACTGCTGTTTTTTCTTTACCTCATAATATGAGATAACTCTTTAAAAAAATAAAAGTACGTCAATTACTCATGCTGCATCAAGTTTAGACAAAGACACATTCCAGCTGTATGTACACATGTACATGTATCTACTTTTGTAGCTGTCTAACATATACAACTGTACTGTGTATGCCCTTGATACGAGATACATGGATTAGTGTGTCATGGGTGTTGGCCACATAGCTCTTCCCACATGTGCTGTACTACCGACTATGAGTACCAACCCATGGAGTACAATCAATATCTTCACAGAAATATGTTCTAGTGACCTTCCATACTATTTTGTCTGCTGCTTCACAATTATTAGACTGTTTACAGACTTTCATACTATGCTGGAAGCCTTTGTATCTGTACAATACAATGTCTGTCTCATTTCAGAATACTCAAGGACTCTTTTAGGTACATGTACATCTGTACATGTAAATTATTAAAACAGTTTTTGTAAGTTTTTTTGTAAATCTTTTCTTTTCTCTGATCATTAATGTCCTTGATATTTTACTTCACAACTGCAGACAACTTTGTATGATAAAACATGTAATGAAGCCATACTGTACAAATGTGCATTGTTACAAACTGATCCATATCTCAGGGGTGATAGTGAGCACTAACAAAAAAATAGGTTTTTTGTTTTCCCCTCAACCACGCCCCCCTTGAGTAAAAAATAAAGAAGAGGATTCGCGGGGAAAAAATAGCATCTAACAACATTCCCCCCTTTCGAGTAAGAAAATTTGGAAAATTTGGAAAATTTGGAGAAAAAAATAGGGCAAATTTTTTTTTTTTTTTTTTTTTTTTTTTTTTTTTTTTTTGAAATCGGGAAGAAGAAAAAAAAATCGGAAAAAAATTGGGAAAAATAAAAAAAAATTGGGAAACCGATTTAAATCAGGTTTTTATCAGGCCTGATATCTATTACTCATCCTAGACATTTACATGTGTGTGTGGGTGAAGAATTGTGTTTACCGAAATCTGAATGGAGAGTCAACTCTTTTTATTTCGAAACCCTTAAATGGTGTATGAATCAGTCAGATTGGGTGTGTAAAGTGTACTCTACAAATTTTGACCATCCCCACCCAGGCACCCACTGTCTATCTCAGCTCATAAATCAATTCATTCAGTAGACAAACGAGCAATTGAATTTTTCAGATGAATAAGTTACTGCAGTATTACAATAGTTAGCTTGCGCTGAATCAACATGGATAGCAAATTCTGTATTCATGTACACAAGTAAGAAAATACTTGGCTCGAAAGTAAAAGGAAAATAGGGAGAAAAATATCATGCATCAGTTATTTCTAATCTCATCTTGTGTGAATTTGAGGTATTTGCTTTAAAAATGAAAATGATTTTATCAATAAGCCAAAGGAAGTGCATGTACACATCTGTGAGTAACGTGGTTAGTTTCATGTGATCGCCTTTCCATGACTCTATAGTACCTGTATAATATTGTACAAAGAAGTTATGAACACAACCTGTATTCATTCCATGTTTGATAAGCACTCAGCATGCAATGTAAATTAGCTTTCAAGGTCTTTAATTACCAAGGTTCAAGTAGCAAGAAAACTGGACCTTATTCACCACAGTCTGTTTGTGACAGCAAGCATGAAGCCAGTGAAGATTCCAACAAAGTGAATGGTCCCATTACAGTAGGTGAATCACAAGTGCTGGTTTCGTTTTCTTTAAAGATTCTTTTTTCCTTCTTTCTTTTTTGAAGATGAAACTGTTCTCATATACTTATTAATTTATTTACCAATAATTTCATTTGCAAAGGCTACTGGGTACTTTGGAACCAAACTAAAGTTTGGTTTTACTTCTTTTCATTTGTTTGTAATGATTTTATCATTGAACATCCCAACCCATTTGAAGACATAAAGTCTTATGAGACGTGATGGCTCAGTGGTAAAGCAGTGATCTTATACATGTAGCTAGGAGGTCGAAGGTTCCAACCAGGTCGATCCACCAGCACTTTTTTTGTAAAGCCTTTAATCATAAATATCAAATTGTCAAGTCCTTTGGATAGCCTCACAGCTGGGCATTAACATGTACCATGTATGTTACAACGACCATACATGCAACTTACATGTCTCTCCCTGGTAGCTTTCATACATACAGGTAATATAGACCTACAGGGTGTACTTGTTTTGATAGCCATTGGGTAAATTAAATTAATCAATTAGATACAATTACTAATCAACAGTTACTGGGGCTCTTTATCACTACATTTTTAACCTTTACTTAGTTTCATAACTTTAAAAGAAAATAAGAGGCATACATGTACATATCTTCCTTTACATTTTCAACATGAAATTGTTGAATGTTGCCAAAAGTTACGATCACTTTCCAAGCAACAATATGTGCATGTCGGTGTGTGTGTGTCTGTGTGTGTGGAATAGACTGGTTAGCATTTCCAGACACAAACGCAGAACGACTGGCGATCATCAAGAACAGGAACCCGGTTTGAAGAATGAGGAAATGGTGATTGACGACCCAAGCCCAACCACTTCCTCCTTCTTATCTCAGCAATGATGTCTTCTGGGTTATACCCCTATCCCGTCTTTCAGACTGACTTTCAGACCGATTCCTACTCTAATACTGTTTTCACACTGGCAATATTTTGCTTAACCCCGTACTATAGGTGGGGTTAAGGGGGGGTCTTAGCCCCACCTATAGTACGGGGTTAAGCCTATTCCACTTTCTGTTCAGACTGGTTTTTACCAAAGTGGGCTAAAGTTGGCTAACCCCACCTATAGTACGGGGTTAACTAACCCTGCAAAATAGCAGGGCTAACTCCGCAATTGTGGTGCTAACTCCTGCTAACCCCGCAATTGCGGTGCTAAGCAAATGAATGAGAACAGAAACGAAAAATAGTCCGGTACTACGCAATGGAGCGTATCGCAGCTGGCCAGATGCGAAGTATGTCCAACATAACATACACGATATCCGGGGTTAACGAAATGCAGTGAGAACAGCGGGAATTTTCTTATTCCGGAATAGGCGCTAGTACGGGACTAAAAACAGCGAGTGTGAAAAGCCCAAAAAATAGTCCGGGGTTAAGGATAGTACGGGGCTAAGCAAAGTACGGGGTTAAGCAAAACCAGTGTGAAAAGAGTATAAGAACAGCAGTTTACACGTACATGTAAACTGTAATATAATCTGGTGTGTATTTAATTTATTGATAACATTTATTGACAATACTTGCAAATTACACAAAGTACGGTCCAAAGTACACAAATGTGGATAGACAAAACATTTAAAGTTTGTTAACATACATGTACATGTACACACTGACAAGTGTAACATGGCTTTAAAATGTACAATGTATGTATTTACATCATGTGTTTGCTCGACCTTTCATTTCACCCTTCATTTCGCAACACTAAATAGCCAAACTACATATGAGAGAGTTTAAATCTTGTAGCTTCATGTGCACTTTTCAATTGGACTAAAAAAAAGCAGTGTACAGTACTATGTTAATGTGCATTGTGCCGTTAATAAACTTCATAGTATTTTCAGTTCTCACCTCCCTGTTGTGTCACACCTTTATTATTGATTTCTCTTTGTTAGCAGTACAATTTCCTACATACAAATAGAAGGGTCTGTATGTGTGTAGAGATGTGGGCGTTTATACTGTATGGTGTAGGTGGTATGCAAGTTTATATTCAGCCAGTGATCAGTTCTTGTGATATGCTATGATTCATCAAGTACAGTTTATGATTTATCATATCGATATGATGTATTTGATATATTTGCTGTGTAGTGTGTACATATAGTGTAGGTTACAGATTGCTCACACCCAAATTGGTCAGATTTGGTCAGACATGCTACACTGTATACAGGCAAACTGTCAGACTGATTTTGAGGGATGGGGCAAATGTTGAAATGGATTCAGAACTATTGCTCTAAAGCAATGACAACTTTGTCAAGGAAAGAGAAAAGATGAAAAAGTGGAAAAGTGGAAGTTTATGAGCTTTCTCAAAATGTATGATAATTGTATAACTACGGTAGTGAAAATTTATTACAGCAAAATAATGTCCCAATCTTTCTTAAAAATGGCTTAATTTGCAGTCTTATAAAACAAATGCATGTTTTACATGTAGGATCTATTTTACATTTGATGGTGTTAACCTGTTCATGCACATGAACATTTACAGACTAGAGTACAATATGTACATTAACTGCGTTAAGGCTGCAACGGGTAGTCGAATGCTTGAGTACCCGCACGGTTGACAACTACTCGGGTACGATTTCTCGTACCCGAATATTCGGCCGCAAAAAAACAAAAAAATCTCCAGGCCCACGCTTACCCGTGCCAGGGAGAGCGGCGGCCGCTGGCATGGTACCGTCGGTTAAAATGTTTCCCAACTCAAGCACTGTCAAACTCACCTTTCAGAAACTGGGACCAAATGTCCAGATTTCTGTTTGGACAAAAATGTTTGGAGGAAAATGGATTATTCTGCCGTCTTTGGTTTTTAAAACAGAATTGTTTACTGTTATTATTCTTATTAAATCGGCGCCTTCAACTGCAACTAAAAGTAAAATTGCATGCGTTTTCGGCGAGGGACCTGGGAAACTGCCGAGTGGTATGGTAGTGGCAAAAAAATCAAAAAAATCAAAAAAATCAAAAAATCAAAAAATTCAAAAAAAAAATCAAAAAAATTCAAAAAAATTCAAAAAAATTATAAAAAAATTATAAAAAAAACATGGCGTCCGTATATTTGAGTATTTGATTGTGAGCCTGGGAGTGTACTCGGGTACCTCATTACACTGTTGTGCACATCCTTAAACTGCGTACTCCTGGACAAAGTGAGCATCCCCCCTGCCTCTCTCCATTGATCTTCAGCTGTACCCCTACATGTAGCCAGATTCAAGGCCCAGATTAGGTGGTTCAAGAAACGGCCAAATATTTCTAGGTCAGTGGCAAGTTCATTTGCCTGCAGTAACTAAGCCACACCCAAAACAACAAGTACACTGGGTGTGCAATGTATGTGTGTATCGTAGGTTGTAAAGGCAGAGACCCCTGTAAAGTCAGACTGCATGAACAATGGAACTACATCTACATGTACATGTAGGTATGGGAGGAAATGATTCTACAGTACGATTTGACTTGAAAGCAAAATGAATTAGATATCTATTATCTAGATGTATAAGTGGAATAAGAATAGAAAATAAATGTAAGTGAAGGTATTCTGAAGTCTGTGAGTAGTGAGTACATGTACATGTACATGTGAGTATCCACTTTTGGCATTATAAAAAACTGTGTCTGTAGAAAGCATGTACGGTAGTAGTTTCACAGTAGGCCTACATTTACATGTTGTTAAAGGTAAAGACCAGTTATGGTCATGCGATTGCATTGTGAAAGAAACGTTGTGGAATCGATCAGAAAAGGTTGATCATCTAGCATCTAGCATCTGCAAGGTTCTGGAATCATCAAAATGATAAGAAATTTGGCCCATTCTTCGTAAAGTTACAAGCACTATACACAGAAAGATGTATATGGGACTACCCTATATCTCTCACAGACCATGACAGAAACAAATTTACCAAATATATGAATTAGTAGGCGGTTTCCCGGCAATTTTGTTATCATCATGTATTAGTCAAAACATATTCTTTCACATGATTGGTAATGAGAGCTTCCATTTCATTTTTTGACATTGGGGCGTTTCCAATACTGGTCTTTACCTTTAATACACAAAGTTTGGCATTTAAATGCATTTTTCTTTAAAGGGCAATCCAAACCTTGTAATAAGCTCATTTGAATGAAACCAGAAAAGATCCAAGTACATGTAACAGAATGGTGAAAGTTTGATATATGTACATGTACAGTGTACATGTTAATCTGACCAATCATACAAAGAAAGTTATGTTTGAAAAAAAAGAGATCACTACAGATATGCGAATCTCTAATTGGCAATTTTGTCAGTGGATTGTGATGTACTGTATTGACGGATAACTCTCCCATTTGTTGTGTACAAATAATATCTCTAATTTCTGTTTTTCTCCCAAGTGTATTCTCCCAAGTGTATTCACCCTTGGTGCACTACTCAAAATATATTATGGAGAGTATATCATTACAGGTCCTCTAAAAGAAAAGATCATACGAGTCATACATTTTCAAAAAATGGAAATTTTAGTGAATTTGTGTATTGGAACAAATGGGAAAGTTGTCCACCAAGTACATCATAAAGATATTACCGATTTAGCCAATTTGAAGAGCCCAAACTTAAAAAACAAAAACATAACTTCTCATTTTTTGTCTGATTTCATTCAAATTTTTACCAGTCTGCTTCTTGAATCTTTATGCAATTCTTTTAGAGTTTTTTGATATTAAGTTGGATTTCCCTTTAAACTCAAACAATATACATGTACAGTACATGCTCCAGCAGGAGTACAGCTCCTACAAACTTTTGGTGAGTTCAGAATTACAGTATAGGTGTAATGTGTCATTGTAAGAGACTCTTTTTACTTGTTTTAGTAAAAGTAATAGTATTGACAATAATGACCCACTGTACAGTGTTGAAGCTAGTCTATCATAACGTGGGCTCAAATTAATGTGAACGTACATTTGTACATGGCGGGGTATTCCCAAAACAGAACTTGTGGGAAAATATTATCCACAAACAAAGAACGGGTCTCACAGGTTATATTTACATAGGGGCGTATTTTGTGTGATTAAATGGAGACTTTGTCCGTGTGCATCGTTCCAAAAATGCTAGTGGGTGTCATTGTCTGAATTAAATTGCAGACTGGCATTGAGTTTGAGGAAATGAAACTTGAAATTTAATGAACACACAGACATCAAGTACATAATATATACATGTACATGTAGATGTACATGCCTTGATATTTGATAAAAGATGTATGGAAGCTGCAGTATAATTGACTAACCCTTGACAGATAGATAAAGTTGTTTTGTACAGGTGGTGTACATGTATGCAAATCTGTTTTTAAGCATGTAAAAAAAAAAAAATGCTTTCTGAACCATTCCCCCCCCCCCCAAAAAAAAAAAAAACTTGATGAAGTGACAAACAAGAATATCAATGTGACCCCTTTATGTTAAAATTAAATTATGAATCACAAGTTACATGTACCTACATGCACATGTATCTACTACATCAATTACTATATTGCCCGATAGCATTTACCCTTTAATTTGTGACAAATCTATCCAGACATGCTGCCAACTTGCCAAGGTATGGTGCTGACCTCAGCCAACTCCACCCTTCAATGGTATGCATGGTATGTCAGCAATGCAGGAATGCGGGTAGGATAGGCAGAAAACAGCCCCTTTTTCATCCCCACTGTCAACTCATCCCATTGTTTGGGAACAATACATGGCATGTGTCCAACTGTCCAACAGGACTTACGGACGTAACTAACCAGGGAATACATGTGTGTTGATATCACCAAAAGGTGAGTAAACATTCAAATTGACCAGTCATGTGAGATACATGTCTACAGCGTTAGTGAGTCCTGAATGACTTCTGTGAGTTCTGTCTGCATTCTGCACATTGTATGTACTAAAATGGGGCGGATATGAACAAAAACTAGACAAGTGGATTGACAGGCATGTAATCCTTTTCCCCAAGGAAAGATAATATAATTTTCATTGAGTATTCATCATAAATGAAAACATGAAAAGGTCTGTAATCTGAATCATTCCTGGAGAAGTGATTCAAGAGGAAAATGCTTTCCAATTTAAGTTCCTCATCATTCATCACCATGATTGTCATCACTCAAGTTTATTCATTTGAAGTGTTTATTTTACAATTACAGTGTACCAGTATACATGTATACCAGAATTACCAGTACATGTATTTACAGACTACAGTCAAACCTGTCTAGTCTGTCTACAATGTGTAGCTACTACCCAAGGGAAACACAAAAAGTGGTCTTTGTAGACAGGTGGTCACTAAAGCAGGTTTTACTGAGTATAAAATGTACATGTACAGTATATATGCATTTTTTTTCTGCATTTGATTTTTCCACTTTCTATTTTTCCCTTTGTCTGGTTCTGGATTATACTCCGACAAAGCGGGATCCCGCATCGCGTCAGAGGGCTGACCTGGGGGTTGACCTGGTGGAATTATTTCCGTTTGGTGTTTGTGAAAAAATCGCAGAGCCTTTTCTTAAAAATATCTACATGTATGTACGGGCGTCTAGGATGTAATGAGGCAGGTCATAGTTTTAAAAAATTAAATAGAACTTAAACTGCAGTCATAAGTTGCATACCAGTGCAGTACAGATAAATGTAAAAGAGTAAAAAGACAAGACATTTACATTTTGATACCGGTACTGTTCCTTGCATGATTCTGTTCAATCATACATGGATGACTAAAATTGTTGAGTTAAAAAGTTAAAACAAATGATAGTAAGAACATCTCACCTGTTTGCTATCTACTTCGATATCAGCTACATAGTTCTCAAATACTGTTGGGACGTAGACTTCAGGGAACTGGTCTTTGCTAAATACTATGAGCAGACATGTCTTTCCACAAGCACCATCTCCAACGATGACCAACTTTTTCCTAATCGCAGCCATATTATTTTGTTTCGGTGAATCGGTAAAATCTCGCCCTGTGTGAGGAAAACAAAAAAGAAACATCATTTAACGGTTTATGTATGTACATGGACTGCCAACACATACAGTTGTAGGGTTAGGATTAGGATGAGAGATAAACATGTAATATGAACTTTAATTTTAAATAAACAAATAAACTGAATAAAGCTAAAGCATGACATTTCATATACTGACCTCTTTGACCCTCAACCTTTGACCTGCTTTACTGCAAAATCTAATTAGATAGTCTTCCTATAGTGATTCATACTATCAGTGTATCACCTTGTTTGAAGCTGGGTAGGGTTTCATCAAACCGTCATAAGTACAAGTTCACCGACATCCCATTGAAACGTGTGTTAAACTTAATGGATGTCTGTGAACTTGTACTTACATGTATGACGGTTTTGTGAGACGCTGCCCTGTACATTTACCTCTATTGTTGGTTCTATATCGCGATAGCGAGGCTACAATGTAATACCTGGAATTTCAGAAATTGACCTCAAAGACCATTGACCTACCTAATGTACATACTACATGTATATTGTATTTCAAAATCTATTGAGATAATCTTCCTATGGCGCATGAAGGAAGATGACGTCATCCATTGACAGCAAAGCCAACAGTTTAAAATAAGGCTACAAGAATTTCAACACGGAGTTCAATTTCAAAGAAGAAAATCCAGAAAAAGTCCCTTAAATGCATTATACAGTCAATCTGGTAAGTGAAACCGATGTACATGTGTACTAACCTAGAGTCTAGATCTATGCCTTATTTTCGAGAATAAATGCATCAGATATGAATCCGCTAAAATGAATTTCATGAATATATTAATGTGCTTTAAACTAGATCTAGAAGTCGAGATTTGAAACTGAAATGGAATTGACCACTTTTGATGATTTTGATGATTTTTAATGACTTTTGATGACTTCCTCCCATGTTGAAGGATTTGTCAAAATTGTTCATGCTGCCCCTTTTCATGTATAGAGTCTAGATCTAGAGAGTAGAGGGTCTAAAAGTAAAATGACATTTTCCTTATGTTTTTAGTCCAAAGTTTGGTGGCTGTTTTATTGACAGCAGACCCTATGGCCGGCTTCTGTCTCTAAAGATAGAAGCCGACCCTAAGAGGCTAACGAACGAAAGAGATAACAAAATTTGGTCTAAGGAGTCTCTAGGTCTACTCTAGGGTCTAGTTAAAGGCCCGGTCACACAGGGAGGACGCATGGGGAACGCACGGCCAGCGCATTGGAAATTTGCAATTTGGGCCAGTGCGTTGTCGTTCGCTAGGCGTGCGTCATCATTCGTTACTTGTTCGTCGAGCGCGCTGGACCAACGCTGGACCAGCGCTATGCATGTGTCGTCATTCGCTGTGTGCGTCGGGATTTTTTGAGCATGCTCAAAAACGTGCGCCGAGCTCGACGCATGAATATACACGCCAAAGGCACGCCAGACATGCGTGGAGCGCGCTAGACCAGCGCCAGACATACGCGGAGCACACGCCCTGTATACGCACAGCGCGCTAGCTACACGCCGTGCATTTTGTGTCAGCTCGCTAGCTTTTCCAAAATTATGACAAAAGTTAGGCACACGTTCTTTTCCGATTTCCAATGCGCTGGCCGTGCGTCGTAGAATGCGGTGCATGCGTGGACCATTCGTCCAGCGCGCTAGCAACACGCTATGCATTCGTGGAAGTTGTTATCATGTGCGCTCTGTATACGGTCTGTATGCGCACTGTATGCGCCCTGTATGCGCCCTGTATGCGCTCAGCGCGCTAGCAACACGCTATGCATTTGGTGTCAGCTCGCTGTAGCTTCGACAAAAGTTGGGCGCACGACAACGCACCGGCCAAAATTGCAAATTTCCGAAGCGCTGGCCGTGCGTTCCCCATGCGTCCTCCCTGTGTGACCGGGCCTTAAAGCAAGCGCACAGTTTTTATTACTTTTTAATTTGCGAAGCATTTTTAATCAATCGCAACTTTTTACTTACAACACAGGGGGCCGGGGGCCCTGATTAAGAATTAAAAATAAAAGAAATACAATAGAAAATCCTTGTCAATTTCAAGTCAACATAATCAAGTTACACACACATGTAGATCTAGGTGAGCAAAGGTTGTGTAGTATCACACCATCTACCACCATAAATCTACCACCATGCATCGACCACCGCCACCGGAGATGGACCCGGTGCAGCTGCAGCCGATGACAAAGTCTAGGCAAATGCAACGGTAGTGTGTCTGTCCGCCCGGTGCCGTTGCACAAATCGAAATCCTAAACTTGCCTTCGACCTTCCGAAAAATTATTCGATAACACACATAAAGTATCAGCAATAAATACAAGAAAGTGCTTAAAACTCACCAAAAAGTTGCAACTGCAAGCTACGGGGCATCAAAAATATAATAGCTTAATTATTGTGCTCAAATTCTTGTGTTAAATCCAAATTTATCCGTTTGACAATCGAATCCATGAGCTGGTTCTGTACGCGTCTCTAGTTCTACTATGAACAACTCACTAGAGGTCGGTGGTATTTATACGTTGTACCCGTGCATTCTAAAAATAGCACCGGGATAGCTCTTTCATTGGTTGAAAGAGAAATTACGAAATCTTCCAAGTTTTAGACAGTTTGAAAATAACAGAATAAAGATGTTTCTAATCACATTCACATCGATTGCGATATATTCTGTTTGTCTTTGATATAAGATCATTTTGCATGTAAAATATATGAACATCACTGGGGATTAGAACATTATAGGCCTAGCTCTAATTTGAAAGGACTTAATTGTTTTTACATGTCTTCTTCATTTTAGGGTGATTAAGATAAGCCAATAAATATAAACTATTCAAACTTGGAAAAAAACAAATGAACAGTAGTTACAATCATTTTATAAGCAACAATAATGGAATATAAAAGTTTTTCTTTAAACACATAAAAAGGGGCAGCATGACAAATTAATTTGGACAAATCCTTCAGCATAGGAGAAAATCATCAAAAGTCATCAAAAATCATCGAAAGTGGTCAATTCCAATTTAATTTCAAATCTCGACTTCTAGTTAAAAGCACATTATTTTCATGAAATTCAGGGCCCTTTTCACTAAAACTTGATAGTGCTAAGTTCGATGACAACTTTACTAACAGCCAATCAAATTATCATCTGTTATTTATATCTTATAATATAATTCTATAACAGAGGGTCATCTTAAAAATATATAGATTGTGTATATTAAGAACAAACTTTCAAGTCCGAATGATTTTGCAAAATGAATAAAAAGTTTTTGTTTCCTTTCCATTTCTTCTCTGGGAGTTATGATGGAGGGAAACATAACTACAGAATTAAAAGCCATTTTAATAGGCTATAGGCCAAAACAGACCGTAAATGGGGATTATAAATTTAATGTCATTATGCCCTTGGAGTTTCCTTGCTTACTTCATCTACATAATGTTATTCTTTACAAATATTGTGAATTGTATACACACATACACACATTTTTTGAACAATTTTAATTGTTGCATTTCAACTGAGAACAGGGGGATGGATGGCAACAAAATTAAAGACAATATGAAAGAACGAAATAGAATATTATTTTGACAAATTATAGATAGATAGACAATGATAATACCTTGAAGTAGATGTCAAAAAAGGTTTTTATTTTAATTTTAATTAAGTTCTAGATGTTATTGGGAGTGAAATATGATGTACAACGATTCTTCATCCTGATATTTTTTTCTTCATCCACAATTTATGGCTTTTGATTTTATTATGTTAAGCCCATTATTAACGTTTTCTGTATAAACATGCATAATAACGAAAGAAATTAAAAAAGCAAGAACTTTACTTAGTATATTATAACGGTTGAAATAGAATTGATCGAATGTCTAAGAATAGAACACAAAACTGCTGAAAACAGAATGGGTCATTGGGTGTGTATACCATCCAAGTGACTCATAATTTGTACAGCTATTGCAAGTAGGCTATAATACCAACTCCGAGATGGCGCTGTTCAAATTTTGATAAAATGTTATCGATAGTAATGTGGCATAGCATAGGGAGGTCTTAAATTGACAGATTTTCAATTATTTATTCGAACACAAAGAATCATGTGGATGAAAAGACTTATAACAGGAGATTCAAATATGATTTGGAAACGTTATTTTAAATACCTGACTAGAAAATATGGCGGCCTCTTGATTTTTTTCAGTAATGTATCGCCAGATTTACTTGCACTGTCATTACCAGATTTTTACCGTAGCATGCTGGAGGCTTGGCTGGGGACAAAAGCCTTTTTGCTTAAGAACGAAATTTCAAAAAGAAATCAAATTATTTACAATAATAGATGTATCCGCATTCAGGGGCAAATATGTTTCCATGAAGACTTATTTCTGAAAAATGTTTTTAAAATACATCATATTGTTGATAAGAAAGGTGAATTGAAATCTATCACAGAATTTAAGAAAATGGGTTTAAACAACATTGAAATAAATATAATAAAACAGTTATATGAAGGCATTCCATTCTCATGGAAAACTCTTTTGAATATATATGAACATCCTTGTGAGGATACTGAATTAAGTTTAGAATTCATTATTAACGGAAACCCTCACTCTTTGCAAGGCATAACATCAAAATATATCTATAGTACATTGTTAAAAATGAGAAAGGAAAAATCTTATGCTACATGCAACTTAGAACGTACGTACAATATGGTCGAAAATGACACGAGAACAATTTTCTTAAGACCCCGAAAATCCACTATAGACAGAAAGCTGAGGGAATTTCAATATAAAATGTTATATAATTTAATTTATACAAATAAGCATCTATACACTTTCAAACATGTAGTGAGCAATCTTTGCTCCTTTTGCAATAAACACGAAGAAACCTATGAGCATCTGTTTTTTACCTGTGAAAAGGTAGCAAATATTTGGAAGGACTGCGGTGACCTTTTTTCTTTAACAGCATTAAAAAATCTACATTGGCAAGAAATTCATATCGGGATAAAAAGATCCAATGTGGGAGAAGAACAACTGTTAAATCACATTATTCTTTTAACAAAACATATGATTTTTAAATATAGTTCAACTCAAAATAGACCCCCAATTCCTCAAGAAATTAAAAAAAGAATAATAGAAAATAGGCAAGAAGAAAAGGAATTAGCGGGGGAGAGAGGCACTTTAACACTTCACTTCAGAAAATGGGACAACTTCCACAGTTAAGGACGGCGAGGCAAATACTTCTTTTTCAGACTCAGACATTTTTTTGTTTTGGTTTAAATATATAGTTTGGTCTTAAGGAAAAGGAAGAGACAGGATTTCCAACAAATGTGTAGATGTGAATGCTCGGGCAGGGAGGGGGGATTTGTTAAGCTTTGGAATGAAGGGGGGAAGGGGGATAGGTCAGTTTGTATGTGTGTCTGAGTATGTGAGCGTGTGTGGTGTGTCTGTCTGTCTGTAACTCTTTGATTTATAATATTCGTTCAGTGTAATTAAATGTAAACATTATGTACTGTGTATTAAACTATCTTATGTATTTTTTGAGAAATGTACAATTTTCTTAATATTTTGATATATGTAAATCAATGAAGCTGTATATTTGTTTGTTATATATTTTGTACTGAATGAATACAATAAAACAATACTACAAAAAAAAAAAAAAAAAAAAAAAAATAGCGTGTCAGGCGAAGGCGGCGAGGGAACTCTGGGTGGTGGTGGTGGTGGTGGTGGGGGGGGGCACCAAACTTGTCTATACGTGGAGTAGAGTAGAGTGCAGTTGGGGAGTACTCCATCCCGCCCCTACCCCCTTTCTGGAAAAAATGTAACTGACAACGTATACAACGCGTGATAAGTAGCGTCATTTTTTAAATTTTTGTAATACCCTTAGGCTCTCTGATATAATTCTCTCTCTCTCTCTCTCTCTCTCCCTCTCTCTCTCTCTCTCTCTCTCGCTCTCTTGATCTTCATGGTCAATTATCTATCCTGTCTTGTTATGATGCATACGTTTATGATGAGCATACACAATATAAAGATTGGAAGACTAGTCTTGATTTCTGTTATTTTCAAACTATCTAAACTCATAAAGTGCATCAAATGCTTTGTAAACCAAAATATTAGAGCTCGCCTATTTTTAGATCGCATACGTTGGGTGCAAAGGTATAAAAGGATTGTACTCAACCTCCTTTGTGAATTCGGGCCACGATGTTTGAATAGTGTCAACGGAACTGCAGGCCTAAACTTGAACATCATTATTTCCGTTCAGTCCCGGACTCCCGTATTATTACTATTTTATTGTGTTTGAAACAAGACGTACTCTAACTGTACTGCTAACATTGCAATCATGGACATGGGCTGATTTCCACAATTTTTTTCTCATTATGCCTTACATTACAACTTTTATTGGTGAGTATAGTAGCACTCATGAATGTTTCTTTCTGAATTTCACGAGGACACAAGTGTGATTTGAGTGAGGGAGGTTTGTAAATTAAGGGGGGGGGGTCATTGAAGCACGTATCGTTTAAGAGCCGTATTGAACTTATTCTGATGCTGTATCTCATTGTTGTTCCATCGTGCCTCTAAGCTTGTCTTCTTCTCCTCCTCCTCCTCCTCCTTCTCCTCCTCCTCTGTACTCTTTCTTCTCCTTATTCTTCGTTTTCTTCTTCTCATTCTTTTCCTCTGCTTTAGTTCTGCTTCTCCTGCTTCTCCTTTTCCTTCTACTTCTTCTTCTTCTTCTTCTTCTTCTTCTTCTTCTTCTTCGTCTTCTTCATTTTCTTGTTCTTCTCCTTCTTCTTCTGCATCTTCTTTTTCTTCTTCCTCTTCTTTTTTCTTCTCTTCTTTAAAGTTCTGCTTAATTCTTACAAATTATTATTCAAACAGATAAATCTAAACTGACTTTAATATACAGTATATTATATTTCAACACAAGCGTGACGAATATATAGGTAGGCCTAATAATAACTGCCTGGTGTTATAATTTGTGTTATTTTATTTCAGTGTTGAACTAGAGAATGGCTACTATCAGGACGGATGTGTCCATAGTTGGGAGCCAATGCGGGAAAACAAGTCTCCAAACTGCATTCGTCAAAGACAGATTCGACCCTCGAGATGTATACATTTACTCAATATAGTATTTGATTGTAGCACCAGTCTCATTTATCACGATTGCTATAGGTTGAGCTGGGAATATGGGATACACCAAGTCAAGAATTGTATGGAAGACTGAGAACTGCATTCGCATACCCCAAGACGGACGTTGTACTTCTTTGCTTCTCGTTTGATCGACCCGACAGATTTGAAGACATCTCGGAGAAATGGATACCAGAGGTGAGGCATAACGGTTCTCCGCAGTCAATATCCTAATGTAGATTAACTGAAATTCTTATCTTCAACCCGACCCTGCATGGACCAAACACTATGGCCCGAATTCACAAAGGAGGTTTGTCGACAAACCGAGGTTTATGTACGTCATATGACGCGTTTTGACGCCTTTTTTACAAACCTGGTTTGTAAAAAACAAAAGGAGGTTTGTCGAAACAAAAGGAGGTTTGTCGACAAACCTCCTTTGTGAATTCGGGCCTATCAGTCCAGTCAATCTAGCGATATTTATATTTAGGAGGTTACCCACTACCTCTACCTAACCACAACCCTGACCCTAAACCTAACCCAAACCCCATTGCAAAAAAAAAACAACTATCGCAATAATAACCTTTGACGAAAGAAAGCCAGGGGCAAATGTTGGCAGCCCCGTTCCGGTTGATCTCATCTTATTGAAATGTTAAAAAGTCTTAAACATCATAAGCGTTAGGGATTGGTGACCTTTTATTTAATAGCTTATTACACCTTTTAGAGGGGCATGATATCTTAGTAATGTCCCTAATGAGCACCCCCCCCCCTCATTAATATGTATAATTGTAATAAATGGGACCGTCAATACCTATAAAACATTTAATGAAGTTGGTAGACTAGGGGACTGTGGTGAAAAAAAATGTAACCGGTTTTACTTAACAGGTTTCCTTTGCTTGGCATGAAAGGAATATCAAAACAGTTATGAACCGGAAGTGAACATAATTATGGCTGTCTAAAATCAAGTCAGTAGAAGCAAGTATACACAGATCATAATATATTTTATCAATGGTCTGTACGTTTTTTAAATCCCTTTTTTAATAGGTGAAGAAGTACCTCCCAAAGGCACCTATCATTTTTGTGGGGAACAAGAAAGATCTTCAAAATGACAAGGATACAATACAAGAATTGTTAAAGAAGAATCAGGAACCGGTAAAAACAGAGGATGCCCAGGTCCTTGCAAAAAAGATCGGCGCCATTTCATATCTAGAATGCTCGGCCAAGGAAAACAAAGGCATCAGAGAAGTGTTTGAGACTGTAGCATTGGCAGGAATAAAACAGGATGAAAAGAAGAAGTCGTCAAAATGCACCCTCTTGTGAATAAAAGAACCTTAGATATATCGCAATTGGCTTATCTGGGGGGGGGGGTAAATATCGCTGATCTAACCAATATACGTCCTTCAGGAAGACATTTTTTCATGTATACTATTTTGATTCGTCAAGACGTTACTTTTCTATTCTCATATAAGTTTTTCATAAGCAGGGGGGGGGCCGAAAGTTCCCCGAAAGTGCCCGTTTTAACATAGGAAGAGTACCCTATATTACTTTGGCAAGTGCCCCTTTTCCTTTTAATAAGTGCCCCTTTTCACTTCTGATAAGTGCCCGTTTTATTTTGACATTGACCATTTTCGTTGTGTTAAGTGTCCCTTCTCATTAATGCCCGCTTTTCACCTCAGAAAAATGCCCCTATATTAACATCTGGTAAGTGCCCCTTTTCATTATCTGTGGTAAGCGCTCTTTTTCATTTCGACACAACCCATATTTTCCCTTCGTATAATTGCCCCTTTTTCCCATTTCCTTTTTATTAAAGGCCGTTTCCCCCTTCTCATAAATGCCCCTTTTCAACTCTGATAAGCGCCCCTTTTATTTTGACACGTGTTCCCTTTTCCCTTCAAATAAATGCCTCTTTTCCTTATGAAAAATGCCCCCTTTTCTTTTTAATAAGAGCCCTTTTCCCTTCACACAAATGCCCCCTTTTCATCCCTGATCGATTCCCCTATTAAACACAGATAGGTGAATTTTTCCAGATATTTTACGATGTAATTTAAATAAGAAAGATATGAAAATGCTGTGTATACAAAATGGACTGTCAGAGTTTTATCAAAATCTTCTTGTTGCATGGTCAAAATTCAAATATTGAGGTTTAGTTGAGGTAACAGTAATAGAAGAGGAGATATTATGGAAAAACAGTCATATTAAATTTTAAAATTCTATATTATTGTTTTCAAAGTGGTACGTAGATGGAATTTGTAAAGTAAAGCACGTGATTACAAATGGTAGTTGGATAGACTCGATTCTGTTAAATAGTAAAGTTGGTATTCATCAATTATTATTTGAGTTCGAATACGCAAAATTGAAGAAATGTTTCCCATGCTATTGGTTAAATAAATTATACGTTCTAAAGAAGGTTCAATTAAGTAGTAAACAAAACGATTCATATGTAATCGAAGTAGCTACAGGGGATTTTGTTGATATATCTAGTTTCAAGACGAAACATTTTTATTTATCCCTCCTGAAACTAAAACTTCAAAAACCAAATGTTACACGTTGCTGGGAATATTACTTGAACTTTCCTCTTTCTTTTAATTGGCAGAAAGCATTCAATTTTAATTTTCAACAAATAGGAAATAATATGATAAAGCATGTTAATTTTAAAATATTGCATAATATATTTCCATCAAAACATAATTTATGCATATGGCGTATAATGGAAAATGACCAGTGTGATATATGTAAGAAACAGAAACTACTCATGTCTTGTTAAAACGTAAAAAGGTTAGAATTTTTTTGGAAAATCATTGAAAATTTATATTATAATTACTTTCATTAACAAATAAATATTAATGAAAAAGCATTAGTTATAGGTTATTCTATTGAAAAAAGGGAAAACTTTGTGATAAACTTCATGTTAATTTTAGGACAATACATAATATACAAAATGTATATTACACTGCGGTGTGATGGTAAAGAGTTCAATAGTAAAAGTCTGTTCATTAATTTCAAATTAAAACTACGATATTACATAGCAAATAAACAAAGTATTTATTGACGAAACACAAAGAAATTGTTCAAGAAATGTTAAGGTTATAACTATTTATTTAATTACTTTTGTATTTTTTTATTATGTTAAAATGTAAATTGATGTAAATATATATGAAATGTGAAATATGTGAAATAAAACACCTCGGTAAGAGGACAAGAAAAACAAATCTCTAGTAAGTGCCCTCTTCCAGGTGCGAGGAGTGCCCCATTTTCACCTCTGATAATTGCCCTTTTTACTCTGTCACGTGCTCCTTTCTTTTTTAATAGATGTCCATTATCCTACATTAGAGTATCCCCTAATTTAAAGCGACTAAGAGCAACCTTTTCTTTAATTTCATTTAATAAGATCATCTGTCATGTAAAGTATATGAACATTACTGGGGATTCGAACATTATAGGCCTAATTAGATTTGAAATTCCTTGTTTTTACATCTTGTTCGAACAAGCATAAGGTCTCCTCTTTTTTCATGTACAAAACATGATCTTACATAAGTAACTTTTTATAGAATTTCTTTAGTTAATGACGAGAGTTGTATGTTAATTATTAATATTACACTTTGAATTATGTTTGTTTTATTGATAACCTGCTGTTCCTGATACTTTAAAGAACTATGAACTATGTCTTATTCACTTTAGGGTGATTATATTAAAGAGATAGGCCTAGAGTTATAGACCATTCAAACAGAGAATAAAACAAGTAATTAAAACAGTAAATAAATTTATTACATAAGCAACAATAATGGAATATAAAAGTATTTCTTTGTAAACGTAAAAAGTGGTAACATGACAAATCTCAATTCAAATCTCGATTTTGCAGAGTGGATGAAAAGTTTTCCTTTTCTTTTATGAAGGAAGAAAACACTGAAGCAGAATTTTATAATAATTATGTAGACCAAGTACGTTCTTATCAAATTAATTTATAGCTATAGTTGATTATAGGCTAAGCCAAAACAGACCGTGAATGGGGATTATAAATTTAATGTCATTATGCATTTAAGTTTCCCTGCTTACTTCATCTACATAATGTTATTCTTTAAAACTATTGTGAATTGATAATATGAACTATATACACACATACACACATGTTTTGAAACATTTTATTTGTTGCATTTCAACTGAGAACAGGGGGATGGATGGCAACACAATTAAAGACAATATGAAAGAACGAAATAGAATAGTATTTCGTTCTTTCATATTGTCTTTAATTTTGTTGCCATCAAATTTTGACGAAGTACAAATAGATAGACAATGATAATACCTTGAAGTACATGTCAAAATAGGCTGTTAATTTAATTTTAAGTAAGTTCTAGATGTAAATGGGAGTGAAATATGGTGTACAACTATTCTTCACCCTAATATTTTTTTTCTTCATCCACAATTCATAGTTTATGATTTTATATTATGTTAAGCCCATTAACGTTTTCTGTATAAACACATAATAATGAAAGAAATTAAAAAGCAAAAACATTACTTGGTATATTATACGCGTTGAAATAGAATTGATCGAATGTCTAAGAATAGAACACAAAGGCTAAATTGTTTTTCCTATGGACTATCTATAGTACTTGCGTATGGGCAAATGGTCATTTTCCTCGACGACTTAAATTTACGAATAATTTCGTCAACTGAGTCAGCCTCAAAGCTATATATTTTAATGCAGGCGCGGAATCTTATTTTAGGGAGGGCGGTAGTGAGCAAGCGAATCACTTAAAGAGCGCGCCAAGCGCGCTCGATCATTAGGGGGTGTGTGGGTGTTAGGCGTTAAGCTTAGGCATTTCCTTAAATTATTAGGAAAAGAAGACGATTTATTGTACCGTTCTCGACTTTAATCCTAATTGTCTCAATGAAGTCCCCCCCCCCCCCCCTCCCGCGCGAAGCGCGGAAGCTTTGACGTTTCATTTAATTATTAGAGATAGAAGACGATTCGCTGCACCGTTTTCGACTCTTAATAAGCCCTAATTGTCTAAATTCAGTTCCCCTTTCTCTCCCTCTCACTCTCTCTCTCTCTCTCTCTCTCTCTTTCTTTCCCTCTCACTCTTTCTCTCCCTCTCACTCTCTCTCTCTCTCTCTTTCGTTATACACCTGTGTTCTAGTACACTATATATTCTCCAATATGAATATCTTTGTAATTCCAGATACAATAGACCAATTTACTATTGTTTTCAAATTTTAAGGATACTTCTTGAACATAACTTGTCCTTGACAGCCCTAAAAGTTGTCTGACATAGCAACAATAAATAGACCCATTTAAAAAATGTGTTTAAATTAGTTAACTTGGCGATGAGCTATTTAATACATTCACCCAAAAGTCAGAATGCAATTTGCACTCAGCAGAATATATATACATTTCATTGGATTGCATTTTAGTTTAAATTTAAGTGCCTCAAAATCAAGGGAGTGCAAAAATTAGGGGAGTACCAGAGTGAAAAAATGTGCCATGCGTTCCTGCTGTTTAAACTTCCTGTAATTTGTTTGATTTCTTAACCACAAACATGTACAGGCATTCCATCACTTCCCGAAAATACACTCGTTTGTTTGAAAAGTGGGTAGCAAAATATATCATTCAGATTCTAAGCATTATTTGGCACTATTTTACGAATGTATTAAGATCCCATCAACCCTACCCTCTTTTCTCTTGTATCGCTTTATTTAGTTTTATGTTTTGTTTGTTGGGTCCATTCTTATTCATTCCCACTTCCTAACTAATAGTGAAAGTAACAAAACAAGTTTTGTATACCATGTACATGTACCACACCCAACTACAGTATATACATGTCATACACAAACTTCAAACATAACCCTTGTGAACTCATGAAAGGTACTTTGGTTCAAATATGTTCTTGAAGAAAAAACAACTTCTGTCATTCTATACGAGTATATGACTAATCCTAATCATATAAACCTCAATGCCTGAAAAACATATGATTAGTGACGTTGCTAAGATAAGTATTAGTGATCATTACCTAATATTTACTTGTCTATGCTTTCAAGGCACCATTAATGAGCATAAAACCAAACGGTCCCGCAATTTCAAATCCTTTGATGAAAATAAACTTCTTGAATCCTTCAAGAATTCAGATGCTCTCAGTAAAAGTGACTGCCAGCATCGATCAGTAATTGATGCTTGGAATGAATGATGAGATGCCTTTATTAATATTTGTAATAAATGTGCTCCAGTGAAATCGACCCGAGTAAAAAATAAAACATGTCCTTGGATTACACCTGATATTGTCAAGATGATTTATAAAAGAGATTATTTAAAAGCTAAATCTGATTCCTTGCAATCAAATGAAATTCTTAAAGAATATCGCAAATTAAGAAATCGTATTACTGGTCTTATAAATAAAAATAAACATAACCATTTTAATGATATCACAAATAAGTACAAAGCAGACTCGAAAAAACTTTGGAAAGAAATACAAAAGGTAACAAACCAGAATAATCAAACAGAAAGCTGCAACCTTGACTGCAATGATACCAATGATTACTTCATTAACATTGGCAAAGAAATCTTGAAAAGTTTTGTTCACAAAAATAATATAGATTGGAAACACCCTAAATGTATTCATACTTTTGAAATTCAAGAAATTCAAGCCTCTAAAATTTTGAACTATCTAAATTGTCTTGATAACATTAGTCATCTTGATATATTAGATTTCGATACCAAATTACTCAGGCTGGCAGCTCCCCTCATATCCGAATCTTTATGTTCGATTTTTAATGCTAGCCTCAGGTCAGATGTTATACCTAGTGACTGGAAGATCGCCCGCACTACCCCTGTATATAAAGGAAAAGGTAATAAAGATGACATCACTAATTATCGCCCGATTTCCGTAGTTTGCCACGTATCTAAAATGATAGAGAAGGAAGTTACAATTACTTAACTACTTAAAAGAACACGATATGATTAATGTAGACCAGTATGCATTTCTCCCTCATCATTCTACAATTACCTGTCTACACCGTGTAATTGACGATTTTCATGAATCCCTTAAAATTCTTAAACATGACACTTTTGAATACGATATATAAATCTACTATTCAACCTTGTCTTGATTACGCTGTCTCAGTTTGGGATAACTGTCCTAATAAATTAAAATTACCCCTATTGAGACTCCAAAAAAGGGCAGCTCGTCATGTAACAAGTAATCATGATTATACTAATATCTCTGGTCTTGATCTGATGAAAAATCTGTTTTGGCAAACAATTGAGGATCGACGTGATTATTTTCTATCTACACTAATGTACCAATGTGTCCACGGTCTTGCACCATCCCGTTTATGCAATGAGATTGAAATGTATTTCGACAGACATGGACTGAATACACGTAATGCCAATTCCCTTAATGTTGTGCCGCCTAAACCAAACATTCAACTCTATTGTCAGTCTTTAAAATATTCCGGTGCTAAAGTATGGAATCGCTTACCAAATAACCTTCAAAATGCTCAGTCGCTGGATGTCTTCAAATAATTGTACAAAAAATCAAAATCGAATCCATTGTAATGACCCCAACCCTTAAGCTGAAACCTTGCATTTGATTATGACTATATTTTGTTCTTTTAACTTCTACTTGATATTATTATATGTAGCCACCATTCATATTTATAATCACTTTTGTTATGGACCTGAATTGTTATGTTACCATATTTTGTGTTACTTTGTATTTATTTTGTATTTTACTTTGTTATACTTGAATTCTGAATACTGAATTCTCATTGTTAGTACTTTTTATACTATGCTTTTAATACCAGGTCCAATATGTAAAACAGATTTATTTCTGATCTTGTGTACCTGTATAAATATGTATGAATAAATAAATAAATAAATATACTTATCTGACAGGACAATATTGAGTGGCAACACCCAACAACAGGATGTCCTATTCATTTATGGTTAACACACAAACACACTCACCATGACAACAAAACAAAACATAGAATATCATTTTTTATCAACAATTTAATGAATATATTTTTTTTCTTTTTTGTGTCTTATCTACAACCTCATAATTCAATTTCAATTCAATTTATTTTTCCAAGCAATAAAAAACATACAGGGTAAAACAAAAGCAGTATACAAAGTTTCACACAATTACAATTACTAACATAGATAAACACAGAAATACACAGAATCAATTTACAAACATGAATAATACAAAGGAAATTGCTAATGCTGGTAGCAGCCAGAAAGGAGGTGGTCCTTGTATGCGGCTGACCAATTAATCAAATATAAAAAGTTAAGCTGTGATAAAAAGTGAAACAAACAACAATTACATGTAAAATATAATGAATTTAACAAACGTTAAAATCTGTAGCTAATATCAATATACGTCCATAAAGTATTTTTTGTATTTACATTTGAAAGTGTTAACAAATTTCAATTCACGTATTTTACGAGGTATAGTACTCCATAAGCAAGGTCCATTAAATATTACTGTACCTTTATATGAAATTGTATGTATAATTGGCAAGTGAAAATTCTCAGCATTTCTAGTACTATACTGGTGTATATTACAATTTAGTATAAAAAGTTTTAAAAGTGATTTGGGAAGGATTTGTAAATAGCACTGGAACATAAATATTGCACATTGATAATTATACATATCAGTAAAATTCAATATTTTCATTTCTTTAAAAAGTGGATGTGAATGGGCAAGATAAGAAGTATGACAAATAGTACGAATTGCACGTTTTTGCAATAAAATCACTTTCCTAATATGGGTTTCATGTGCATTCCCCCATGCAAGTATTCCATAATACAAAAATGGTAATATCAAACTTTTATATATCATCTTCAATATACATTTAGGAAATGATTTTAATTTATACATAACACCAATATTTTTCGATGATACATTACAAACAGCATTTATGATCAGTCCATTTCAACTTATTATCAATGGTTATGCCAAGAAATTTAAGTGAAGAGACCTGTTTAATTTCTGTATTACACAAACGAATAATAATAGAATCAGTGTCACATTTTTTATTAGTAAAAATCATATAATGTGTCTAACTTATATTAATTGACAATTTATTTACAGAAAACCATGTGTTTATTAACTTAATTTCTCGATTAAATATATCTTGAAGTGATTGTATATTTTGATGGAATAAAAAAATGCTTGTATCGTCGGCAAATAAAATTGATTTTAAAATTCTCGACACACTGGGAAGATCATTGATATATAAAATAAACAATAATGGCCCTAATATGGATCCTTGAGGTACTCCACATTTGATTTCTTGGTAATTTGATTTTACATTAGCAATAGAAACAAATTGATGACGACGTAACAAATAACTTTTAAAAAGATCTAAACCGATTCCCCTTATTCCACATTGATATAATTTCACCAACAGTATATGATGGTCTAACGTGTCAAAAGCCTTACTAAGGTCTAAAAACAATCCAAGCATAACTTCATTATCTATTGCAGAGGCTACCTTATGAATAAAATCAATTATTGCACATGAAGTAGAATGTCCAGCTTTAAAACCATACTGATTATTATTGATAATATTGCACTTAGTTAAAAAAGCATACAATCTATTATACATACATTTTTCTAAAAAATTTGAAAAAACTGTTAAAACGGATATAGGGCGAAAATTAGACATTGTTTCAGACACTCCATTTTTAAAAACAGGTATCACTTTTGCTATTTTCATTTTATCTGGAAATACTCCTTGTTCAAGACATTGATTAAATATTGTACATAAATGATTGCTTAATAAATAGATACATCTTTTCACAATTTTAACATCAACATCATCATATCCAGCACTTGTATTATTTTTTAGTTTTTTAACAATATCTTCAATTTCTGAACTTGTTACAAGTTTAAAGAACATAGACTTGTCATTCATATCAATACACTTGATACACTCTGAATCATCAAAAAAATCAAATTAACAATTCAAATTATACCCCACATCTACAAAATATTCATTAAAATTATTAGAAATATCATTCTTGTCAGTTATCACTGTATCATTTTTATTAATCTCTTTAATGTTAGTCATCTTACATTTTCATATTAATATTTAATATTAATAAACGATAATTTGTTGACATCCTTATCAAGTAATTTCTGTGTTACAAACGTATTGAATTCATCTGGAGTATAATGTGACTGAGTGAAGTTATTAGTCCTTTGAGGGTCTGATGGTGACAAAAATTCTCTCAAGGTTGATACAGATACATGTTTTTCATTCAGACATTGAACAAATCGAGCACGACACGACATTTGAAAACCAAAAAAGCAAAGGAATATGAATTCTACACTTAAAACAAAGTAGTAAAAAGCAAACAACAACAACAACTATGTACAAAATGTAAAGAAGAACTTAAATGGATAAAATGTAAGAAAGTTATTGGATGTCTAGAGAATATATTGCTGTAGCAAATGTATATAAAATGTATTAAATAAATTACTGTATACATTTAAAATACGGCATACATATAATTGCGTATAGAATTACCAACTTGTACCAAGGCACTGCATCATGAAATAGAAATACTGAATTTTTGTTTGTACAAAATGTAATGAAAGACATCTACAGAACCACTAGGGTATGAGCTCAAAGATCAGGGCCCTGTTTCACAAAACTTGATATCAATAACTGTTATAAGCTACTAAAACCATATGATCGGCTTAAGGCAAATTTGTTATTGATAACAAGTTTTGTGAAACAGGGCCCAGATGCAACTTTTCTGCCTCTTTGGTGACTTTTTTCATCCTGCACACAAAATATTGGAGAATACTTGTACATGTATGTACATGTACAGTATGTACATTTATCGCAATTTGTCAAGAAATTGAATCTGCTAGACCGCGAGTAAGTTTGCCATTCAAGATCTCTGATTTACTAAACATTTATTAATTGCAAAATGCATCATAATGTTCAATGCCATACATGTATGTACATTCCGCTATGACAATCTTTGAAGCAGCTGTAGTTTTTTTCATACGAGCCTTGAACAGTTTGAGACAAATGGAAGAAAACCAAAAAGGCACCAAGATGCAGTCATCTTCCACCACATAATGTACACTGTATATTGTATAGATTACACTCAGATCGTGTTTCCATAGTTACCATGTACTGTGTATTTGTATACTTCACAACAAGAAAATAGAAAACAAGCAAAAACACAAGTGAAAGCGTTGGCAAAGAAATCCCCCTTTTTCACCTCTTGGCAATGTAAAGAACATACACCCATCACAGCTGAAAGAAAATGTACAAAAATTTCACCTCCCAAAACCCTGAATAATTTCTTAACAAATTATCAATTGCAAAAGTTACACACAATAAAATCTCATGATGGCATTTCAGTTTGAAAAGGCACATTGTGAAAAAAAGAATATCATGTTTTAAGAAAAAAACATTTTAATAAGGCAATTTTCTGAAGGTCGCTTCATTACAATATACATGTAGGCACACTTGAAAAGGATGTCAATCTCTCTCTCTCTCTCTTTCTCTCTCTCACACACCCACACACACACTCTTTTGATAATTTACAAGAATATGCCATTCACAGTAGCATTTTTTAGCTTATTTCTCTGATCATTTCCATAATGCTCTTGTTGTTGAGTTTGTATTGCTTAGTTTCAAACATGAAAGCGTCCACAATCAATTCCATAAGTATTACGTAGTGAATCACCATTAATACTAAGAATCCTAATTAACTTTGGAAACTGGGAGGAAAACAAAAGGAGCCTTCCCTACATATATACTGTATACATACACTCTACATGACTTTTGTGTAACTTTCTTATGAATTACCATTTCTTAAGAAAAATACTAGAGCTGTTGCAATCGGTGTCTTTGCATACAGGAACATATATCGCCTGCTCAAACGAGCTAGAAGGGTCCTAACTCGTATCCTTTTGATACCGGTACAGAGTTTACTTCCTTCTGGCTCTCAACAGAGGATAATCATTTTACATCAAGACTGAGAAAAGAGTATTAAGCAACAGAGCATAATTTTGGTTCAGAGCCGAAAAGGTGTTGATTCCCTCTCATACGAATATGTTTAAAAGAGGCAATAATACTCTTCTGGCTCTCAATAGACAATATTTTGTGTTTCACAATTGAAATAATTACGAATCTATATTGCATATTTAGTGCTTTGCTTTATTTATCACATCATGGATGCGCATCAAGCTTGACTGCTTAAAATGATACACAAGAAAATTAACTTATTTCCAGGTACTAAACTCAATGTGAAACACTCATCCCAGAAAGAAAAGCTGTTCCATTTACTAGGCCTACAGTCTATTCTATTTTTTTTTAAATTTCTGGATAATTAGACGTAGTAATACATGAGAGAGAGCTCAGCTGGCCAAATTATCTCTACAAAGAAAATGGTTACATCCGCCTGAAGATCTATGTAAAAATCTCAAGACACTAGCCACGAGGTGTAGTAGAGTTCACAAACTCCAGTGCGACCTTGGTATCTGAGGTCACCGCGGGTCGCATCTTCAATGTAGAGTTATGTTGTGGTAAATGCATCTGGTCCATATGCTCTTCCTGCAATGTACACATCCCTCCTATTGTCTTCTTGAAAAATTCCTGCATGTACACGCTCACTTCAATAGCTCCAAAGTTTACTGAAACATGTGCCTTTTAATAATAAAAGCTTAGTTTGACTGACACAGTTTGATCATTGTCCGATGTCTTAGAAGATCTTACACGATGTCTTAGAAGATATTGCATGAAAGCTTCTTCTTGCGCTTCTTGCTCTGCAGTGCTGCCCTTGCGGCCGTTTCAAAGACCTCCCTCACCCCATCGTTGGTCTTGGCCGAACACTCCATGTACTTGGCAGCATTGATCTTGACCGCCATCTGGTGACCTTCGTCGTACGTGACGGGGGTCTGCTTGGTCCGCTGCAGCTCCATCTTGGTGTTGTCGTCGTTACGAAGGTCCTTCTTGTTACCCACCAGGATGATGGGCACGTTGGGACAGAAATGCTTGACCTAGACAGGACAGGAAGAGATGAAAGAGAGAACAGTATTACACAAAATTTCACAACTAAAAAGACCTTCAGGATCATTCTTTTTTACCCCTATAAATCTGTTTAAATTCATGACCAGATAAAGAAGTTGAATTTGAATATCCTCAACCGTGCTACAAGTACATCTAAAGGTATTGTATCATAAAAAGTAGTTTCTTATATTTGTCATAAAACGAAAGAGATTATGTATTAGAAATTAAAAATTGACCACCTCACTAAATATCAGTACAAGTACCGGCATGCAATTCTTAAATTATTACAGGGCGGCTACAGACGACCCCATCTAAAAATGTACATGTACCTCAATACCTCTAATTCACATATTATATTTTAAGTAGAAATTGTAAACCAATAGGTGGTACACACTAAGAAAAAATGGTGCAACTATGCACCTTTAGGGGTTCAAACCAATGCAACAATAGCAGCACCTTTAGGGGTTAAATCCTGCACCCTTTTTAAAGGTGCAATCCTGCACCCTTCAAAAGGGTGCCAGATTGAACCTTTTGGGGGAAATGTTAGTACCCTTTATGGTTCAATCCTGCACCTTTAGGGGTGCAAACCAATGCAACAATAGCAGCACCTTTAGGGGTTAAATCCTGCACCCTTTAGGAGGGTGCCAGAATGCACCTTTTAGGAGACATGTTAGTACCCTTAATGGTTCAATCCTGCTCCTTTAGGGGAGCAAACCGATGCAATAGCAGCACCTTAAGGGGTTCAATCCTGCACCCTTTAAAAGGTGCAATCCTGCACCCATCATCGAGGAATACTCGTGACATTTGCTCGTACACATATACATATTAAACATGCATGATGTTTCTTGGTTAGTAATCATATAATCAATATATATATTGCTAAAACGTGAATGTAATTGTAACATGATCAGACAAAATAATCTATTGGTTAATGATTGCCGAAGGAAAATACAAATCACAAAATTGATGTGCGTTGTCATAATTTGCTTAACAAATCATATGATAAATGTATTTTTATGTGAACACGTGGAAAGTAATCATGAATATGCATGCAATATGCAAACTTTTATTTTGGACCTTTTTGGGTTGTTAGGGTTCATTTTTGTGGGAGGGTGCAAAATCTTATATCGCACCCTTTTTTGAACCCCTTTTCCTTCAATAGGGTTCATTTTTATGTAAAGGGTGCAAACTCTTATTTTGCACCCTTTTTTGCACCCTTTTTTCTTAGAGTGTAGTGTAACCTTTTAACAATTGATTGATGCAAAACATTTTTTTGTTCTTACCTCTGGTGTCCATTTCTCAGGGATGTTTTCTAAACTGTCTGGATTGTCGATAGCAAAGCACATGAGTATAACGTCTGTGTCTGGATATGAGAGCGGTCTCAGTCTGTCGTAGGCTTCCTGACCTGCTGTATCCCATAATGCTAATTCAACCTGGACAAAAGAAAGAAAGAAAGGAAAAGAGTTGGTTAATTTTTCATGTTACATCAATTTATCCTTTTTTCCAACAACAAAATCCAAAAAATATCATACAAGTTCATGACCAATAAATGTTGCAACATTTTCATTGAGTATTCATCATACTGTAAACGCTGTTATTTTCGCATGATTAATTTTTCGCACTGAGCGACCTCAAAACATATTCGCGGGTTCTTAAACTTGCGTTGCACCGTTTGCACGCAATTCTGCCCATTCAAAACATTTAAGTCATGCTTATATATTCGTGGACACTGACTTTAGCGCAAAATCTGTGAAAATTAAAGCAATATTACTACGTTTAAAGTAACTGAAAACATAAACAGGTCTGCAATCTGCATCGTTCCTGGGGAAGTGATTCAAGAGAAAAATGCTTTCCAATTTAAGTTCCTCATCATTCATCACCATGATTGTCATCACTCAAGTTTATTCATCTGTAGTATTTATTTTACAATTACAGTGAACCAGTATTGTACATGTACGTATGTACATGTACAGTCAAACATGTCAATAGCGACCTGTAGACAGGTTCCTTAAGTACATGTTTCAATGAGAAACCATTTTCAAGGGAAACAAACAAAATGTGGTCTTTGTAGACAGGTGGGTCAGGTGGTCATTGTAGACAGGTAGTCACTAATGCAGGTTTGACTTTATACAATGTACATGTTTATGTGCATTTTTTCTGCATTTGATTTCTTCTACTTACTATTTTTCCCTTTGTCACAGTTTACAAAAATTAAGTTGAAGTTACACTACAGACATAATTTGCATACCAGTACTGTAAAGATGTAACGACTAGACATTCATAAACTGTTCCTTGCATGATTCTGTGGACAGCATGACTACATAAATGTAAGAATCAAATGATAAGTAAAAACATCTCACCTGTTTGCTATCTACTTCTATATGAGCTACATAGCTCTCAAATACTGTTGGGACGTAGACTTCAGGGAACTGGTCTCTGCTAAATACTGTGAGCAGACACGTCTTTCCACAAGCACCATCTCCAACGATGACCAACTTTTTCCTAATCGCAGCCATATTATTTTGTTTCGGTGAATCGGTAAAATCTCGCCCTGTGTGAGGAAAACGGAAAAAGAAACATCATTTAACGGTTTATGTATGTACATGGACTGCCAACACATACAGTTGTAGGGTTATGATTAGGTTTAGAGATACACATGTAATATGAACTTTAAGTTTAAATATTACTTCTAAATAAAGCTAAAGCATGACATTTCATATACTGACCTCTATGACCCTCAACCTTTGACCTGCTTTACTGCAAAATCGAATTAGATAGTCTTCCTATAGTGATTCATACTATCACCTTGTTTGAAGCTTGGTAGGTTTCATGAAACCGTCATAAGTACAAGTTCACCGACATCCCATTGAAACGCGTGTTAAACTTAATGGATGTCTGTGAACTTGTACGTACATGTATGACGGTTTTGTGAGACGCTGCCCTGTACATTACCTCTATTGTTGGTTCGATATCACGATAGCGAGGCTACAATGTAATTAAACAAATTAAAAATGTAATACCTGGAATTTTGGAAATTGACCTCAAAGACCATTGACCTACCTAATGTACATAGATGTACTTCAAAATCTAATGAGATCATCTTCCTATTGGAAATTGACCTCAAAGACCATTGACCTACCTAATGTACATAGATGTACTTCAAAATCTAATGAGATCATCTTCCTATGGCACACGAAGGAAGATGACGTCATCCATTGACAGCAAAGCCAACAGTTTAAAATAAGGCTGCAAGAATTTCAACCTGGATGTTCAATTTCGAAGAAGAAAATCCAGAAAAAGTCCCTTAAATGCATTATACTGTCAATCTGTTAAGTGAAACCGATGTACACATGTATACTAACCTAGAGTCTAGGCCTAATTTTCGAGAATAAATGTATCGGATCAGAGCTACCAAGTGTCACGCATTAGGCGAGACGTCACGCATTTCGAGGGTCTGAAAATTAGTATTATCTTTCAAATGCAGTTGGAATTTAACTTTTTCATTTTTTTGGCCTGCAAATGGGACATAGATTTAGACTAGATCTAGTACCTTTAAAGCAAACGCACAGTTTTTTTGTTTTTTTAATTTGCGAAGCATTTTTAATCAATCGCAACTCTTTACTTTACCTTATAACACAGGGCCCTGATTAAGCATTAAAAGAAGTACAATAGAAAGTCCTTGTCAATTTGAAGTCAACATAACCAAGTTACACATGTAGGCTGCAGTACTACTAGTACTGTCTAGGCTGTATACACGTATCACACCATCTACCACCACGCATCAACCACCGCCACCGGAGAGGGAACCGGTGCAGCCGATGACAAAGCTAGGCTCCAGCCTAGTCTAGGTAAATGCAACGGTGGTGGGCTTATACCATAAGGGTGGGTAGCGTCGCGTCGCGGCGCGTTGACTTGAACGCGACCATTCGTCCAAAGCCCCCCCCCCCCCCCGGTTTGACCGAAAGGGTGCGTTGGATTGTTAAGGCGCGTCAGGTCAGATAATGCGACCAAATGGCACATACGGGGGGGGGGGGGGGCTTATTCCAAATGTACCCGTTCAGAGCATCGAAGTTTCAAGTAAGAGCACTGAAGAGAGACTGGACACGTGCGACCGGGCTTTAAGCTTCCTGATCATTTTCGTGGTGAGTTTATATGAGTATTCCTGCATATTATCCTGTTTTTTGTGTGGTACGTGTTTAAGTATACTAGTAAAATGTCAGAATATAGAAGTTTATGTTTTTTTGCCAAGTGTTAAACCGTAATGTTGTATTAAACTGAACTTGATGATCGGATCGTGCAGTTGATCGGATTGACTGAGATCAGTCCCATGTGCTTAATTCGGCGTAATCTTTCAGAACTAACTAGGTCTAAGGGGCTACTTAATGAGGCTCTATTAAAGACCGTCAATACTACTGGGCCAGAAGGGATTAGACCACACAGCGAGGTCACTGACAGGTGGCTATCTCATTAACTCAGCTCTCAACTAACATAAGAAAAAGAGGATCATGGGGAACCAACGGCAACAGGCACAAATTGGGGAAGTTTTCTATAGGCCTATAGTTTAGACATGCTAGAGGGAGCTCGGAGCAAGTAGCTACAATACAAGTGAAGTACACTGTCGCTCATAAAGGTGGAATATTTCAGTTTTACCCCAATTTATTGAATTATTTTAAAAATTATTTAAAAATAACAGATCTAGATAATAGTATACAATCTCAGATTTTATTGAATAATAATTTGCCAATGTGTGTTTTGCGGTACTGCTAAAGCATGTGTATGCTACTATGCTCATTAACTAAGGGACCTACGCCCTCAAGTCATAAATGACAGTAATGAGGATTAATGCCCCACAAAAGAGCATTAATATAGCACATCGACACGGTTTTGGTCCTGAGGCCTCACAGTTATGAGGCGTTTGTTTTGTCACTGAACCATGACTGTACGCATTGGGGGCTAGGGTAGGGGGCAGTTTCCATAAATAAAAAAAAACACAGAAAATGCAATAAATGTTCAATAATTTATTGCATTTTACCCCGGTCCCCAAAATAAAAAAATCCTCTGGTCGGCCATGCATTATGACTCAAGGCATGGGCACACAAAAGATTTTTTATGTTGGGAACCGGGGTAAAATGCAATAAATTATTAGAAATTTATTGCATTTTCTGTGTTTTTTTAATATTTATGGAAACTGCCCCCTTTAAATAGACTTCTAAATCACTAAAAAGAAAACATATGATTGCTTATTAAAAATAAAATAAAGGAAAGAAAGAAGAGGAAAAAGAAGAAAAGAGGGAGACGGGGGCAAAGGGCTCTTGCCTCCCCCCCCCCCCGCCAAAAAATAAATAAGAGAGAGAGAGAGAGAGAAGGGAAAGGGAAAGAGAAGATTAAGGAAAGAAGAAAAGAGGGAGACGGGGGCGAAGGGCTCTTGCCTCCCCCCGCCTAAAAATAAATAATAGAGAGAGAGAGAGAGAAGGGAAAGGAAAAGAGAAGATAAAGGAAAGAAAGAAGAGGAAGAAGAAGAAAAGAGGGAAACAGGGGGCGAAGGGCTCTTGCCTTTCACCCGCCCCCCCCCCCCCCCCGCCAAAAAATAAATAATAGAGAGAAAGAGAGAGAGAGAGAAGGGAAAGGAAAAGAGAAGATAAAGGAAAGAAGAAGAAAGGGAGACGGGGGCGAAGGGCTTTTGCCCCCCCCCCCCCCGCCAAAAAATAAATAATAGAGAGAGAGAAGGGAAAGGGAAAGAGAAAGAGAAGATAAAGGAAAGAAAGAAGAGGAAGAAGAAAAGAGGGAGAGGGGGGCAAAGGGCTCTTGCCTCCTCCCCCCCCCCCGCCTAAAAATAAATAATAGAGATAGAGATAGGTATGCAAGAGCCCTTAGCCCTTTGCCCCCCCCCCCCCGCACAAAAGAGAGACATAGAGAGAGAGAAGGAAAAGAAGAGAAAGGGAAAGAAAGAAGAAGAAAAAAGTGGGGGGAAAGGAGATCGGGGAGGGGGGCGGCGAAAGGCCCTTTCCCCAGCAGACCTTAAACAGAGAGAAGGAAGGGAAAGGAAAATAGGAGAGAAAGGGAAAGGAAAATAGGAGAGAAAAAAGAAAGGTAGGGGAGATCAGCTACGATTAGAAAAAAGGGGGAAAGGAGATCGGGGGGGGGCCGAAAGTGCCTTGCCTCCCAGCTGTTACCCCCCCCCCCCCATCAAAAAAAAATAGGAAGAAGAAAAGAAAAGAGTAAAAAGAAGGGGAGAACAGTTGCGATTAATCCCGCCAACAAATTGTGGATGGGGGGGGGGGGCGGCGAAAGGCCCTTTCCCCAGCAAACCTAAAACAAAGAGAAGGAAGGGAAAGGAAAATAGGAGAGAAAGGGAAAGAAAAAAGAAAGGTTGGGGAGATCAGCTACGATAAGAAAAAAGGGGGGAAAGGAGATCGGGGGGGCGAAAGGGCCTTGCCTCCCAGCTGTTACCCCCCCCCCCCCCTCCATCAAATAATAAGAGAGAAGGAAGGAAAGGGAAAGGAAAAGAGGAGAGAAAGGGAAGGAAAAAATAGGGAGAAGAAAAGAAGGGGCGCCCCCCCCCACAAAAAAAATGGGGGAAGGGAAAGATAAAGAGGAGAGCTAAAAGGGAACAAAAAAGAGGAAAAGGAAAAGGAAAAGAAAAGGGTAAAAAGAAGGGAACAGTTGCGATTAATCCCGCCAACAAACCTAAAACATTGGCGTAGTAATGGGGGTGGGGTGACAGATGCCAAATATAATTCAAACGTGGTTTATTTCTTATTCGATACCCTTGATTTACAAGATTATTATTTTTTAAATACTTTTTAAATATGTTAACACATCCTTTCGGCCATACCGGGGGGGGGGGGGCTTTGGACGAATGGTAGCGTTCAAGTTAACGCGACGCGACGCGACACTCCCAACGCACCCTTTCGGTCAAACCGGGGGGGGGGGGGGCTTTGGACGAATGGTCGCGTTCAAGTCAACGCGCCGCGCCGCGACGCTACCCACCCTAATGGCATAAGCCACGGTGGTGTATCTGTCCGCCCGGTGCCGTTGCAGAAATCGAAATCCTAAACTTGCCTTCGACCTTCCGAAAAATTCTTCGATAACACACGTAACTAAAGTAACAGCAATAAATACAAGAAAGTGCTTAAAACTCACCAAAAAGTTGCAACTGCAAGCTACGGGGGCATCAAAAATATAATAGCTTATTTATTGTGCTCAAATTCTTGTGTTAAATCCAAATTTATCCGTTTGACAATCGAATCCATGAGCTGGTTTACCTATGCAGCGCTTATTCTCTGTACGCGTCTACTGTGAACATCTCACTCGAGGTCGGTGGTATTTATACGTTGTACCCGTGCATTCTAAAAATAGCACCCGGATAGCTCTTTCATTGGTTGAAAGAGAAATTACGAAATCTTCCAAGTTTTAGACAGTTTGAACATTACAGAATAAAGATGTTTTTAATCACATTCACATCTATTGCGATGTATTCTGTTTGTCTTTGATATAAGATCATTTTGCATGTAAAATATATGAACATCACTGGGATTAGAACATTCATTGTAGGCCTAATTAGATTTGAAAGTCCTTGTTTTTACATGTCTTCTTCACTTTATGCCAATAAATATAAACTATTCAAACTGGGAACAAAACAAATGAACAGTAATTAAAATTATTTTATAAGCAACGATAATGGAACATAAAAGTATTTCTTTATATACATAAAAAGGGGCAACATGAACAATTTTGACAAATCCTGCAACATGGGAGAAAAGTATCAAAACTCATCAAAAATTATCAAAATCATCAAAAGTGGTCAATTCTAATTCAATTTCAAATCTCGACTTCTAGTTAAAAGCACATTATTTTACTGAAATTCAGGGCCCTTTTCACGAAAACTTGATAGTGTAAAGTTTGATGACAAATTTACTAACAGCCAATCAAATTATTATCTGTTATTGTGTATACCTTATGATATAATTCTATATAACAGAGGGTCATCTTTAAAAAATATAGATTGTGCATAAGAACACTGAGTTTCAAGTCCGAATGATTTTGCAAGATGAACTGGAAAGTTTTCGTTTCCTTTCCATCTTCTCTTTTATAGAGTTATGATGGAAGAAAACACTGAAGCAGAATTGTGATAAGTAATAGACCAACTACATATTTATCAAATTACTAAGGATAAAAGCCACTGTTGATTAGGCTAGGCCAAAACAGACCGTGAATTCGGATTAAATGTTATTATGCCCTTGAAGTTTCCTTGCTCACTTCATCTACATAATGTTATTCTTTAAAAATATTGTGAATTGATAATAGGACCTATATACCCTCACATACACACATGTTTTGAAAAATTTTATTTGTTGCATTTAAACTGAGAGCAGGGTAATGGATGGCAGCAAAATTAAAGACAATATGAAAGAACAAAATAGAATATGAATTAAAGGCAACATGAAAGAACGAAATAGAATATTAAATATTCTATTTTGTTCTTTCATATTGTCTTTAATTTTGTTGCCATCAAATTTTGATGAAGTATAGATAGATAGAACAATGGTAATACCAAGTTCTATATGTAAATGGGAGTGAAATATGGTGTACAACCATTCTTCACCCTGATATTTTTTTTTTCATCCACAAAATATAGTTCATGATTTTATATTATGTTAAGCCCATTACACGTTTTCTGTATAAACACATAATAATGAAAGAAATTAAAAAACAAGAACTTTACTCGGCATATTGTAAGCGTTGAAATAGAATTGATCGAATGTCTAAGAATAGAACACAAAACTGCCGAAAACAGAATTGGTCATGTTTGGGTGTGTATACCATCCAAATGACTCATACAATACCAATTCCGAGATGGCGCTGTTCACATTTTGGTAAAATAATATCGATAGTAATGTGGCGTAGCGTGTCAGGCGAATGCGGCGAGGGAACTCGGGGTAGGTGGTGGTGGTGGTGATGGTGGTGGAGGGGGGGGGGGGGGGCACTGAACTTGTCTATACGTGGAGTAGAGTAGAGTGCAGTTGGGGAGTACTCCATCCCGCCCCTCCCCCTTTCTGGAAAAAATGTAACTGAAAACGTATACAACGCGTCATAAGTAGCGTCATTTAAAAAACAAATTGTAATACCCTTAATTATCTCTCCTTTCTCTCTCTCTCTCTCTCTCTCTCTCTCTCTCTATCTTGGTATTTTGATGGTTAATTATCTACCCAGTCTCTGTTATGAGGCATACGTTTATGATGAGCAGACAGAATATAAACATAAGAAGACTAATCTTGATTCTGTTATTTTCAAACTAACTAAATTAGGAAAATGCATCAAATGCTCTTTAGACCAAATATAATTTATAGGCCTCGCCTATTTTTAGATTGCATACGTTGGGTGCAAAGGTATAAAGGGATTGCACTCACACACCGCACCCCTCCGCACCCTTTCGATGAAAGCCGGAACGTACTGCAGGCCTAAACTTGATCATCATCATTTCCGTTCAGTTCCGTATCATTACTATATTTATTGTGTTTGAAACATATTCAATCTGTAACACCAACTATCATGGACATGAACTGATTTCCACAAACGTTTACCATTTTCGGGACCATTTTGCCTTACATTACAACTTTTATTGGTAAGTATAGTACTCTTTGGTTTCTTTCTGAATTTCATAATGACACAAGTGTGATTTGAGTAAGGGAGGTTTGTAAATTAAGGGGAGCAGTGAAGCACGTACCGTTTAAGAGCCGTATTCTGATGTTGTTTTTTGTTTTTCTGTATGTATTTTTGTGTATTTCTGCATGTAACGTGTAAGACTGGTGGTGACGCAGATTTTTCGTCTGCCCCACCCCCCCCCCCTTCCGAACTTTTTTCTCATTATGTCACTGCCCCTGGAATGTGAGCCCCCTGGAATGTTTGCCCCCCCCCCCCCCCAATCCCAAACTGCTTCCGGTGCGCCTTGTAGTCAGTAGATTTTATTGTACTTAATTATATTTAATATTTTCTCAGTTGTTTAGTTAGTTTAGTTTTGTAAGCATTTAAATGTACGCATTATTTTTATTTGACGAGGCAAGAGCCCTTCGCCCTTCCCCCGTTTCCCTCTTTCCTTCTTATTTTTCTTCTTTCTTTCTCTTTCCCTTCTCTCTCTCTCTCTCTCTCTCTCTCTTATTTATTTTTTTGGCGGGGGGGGGGGGAGGTAAGAGCCTTTCGCCCTTCCCCCGTTTCCCTCTTTCCTTCTTCCTCTTCTTTCTTTCTTTCCTTCTATATTTTCTTTCCCTTTCCCTTTTCCTTCTCTCTCTCTCTTATTTATTTTTTGGCGGGGGGGGGGGTGAGGAGGAGGCAAGAGCCCTTCGCCCCCCCCCCCTTTCCCTGTTTTCTTCTTATTCTTCTTTCTTTCCTTTTATCTTCCCTTTCCCTTTCCCTTTTTTCCTTCTCTCTATCTCCCCCATCATCATAGTAATAACGAAAGAGACCACTCTGTAATCAAGACCATTTCATTTTATTTATTACATTTTCGATATACTTAAATTGGCAACTATTACCTTCTGTCCCAGATCCTCATTTTAAACGACTGATGCGAAAGACTAGTCGACGCAACCTTTCGAGAAAAGCCCCCCCGCTTTTATCGAAAGGGTGTGTTAAAACGGTACTCCGCTCTCAACGCAACCTTTCGAGAAAAGCCCCCCCCCCCCCCCCCCCCCCCCCGCCGCGCCGCACCCCACCGCACCCTTTCGATGAAAGCCGGAACTGCAGGCCTAAACTTGATCATCATCATTTCCGTTCAGTTCCGTATCATTACTATATTTATTGTGTTTGAAACATATTCAATCTGTAACACCAACTATCATGGACATGAACTGATTTTTCACAAACGTTTATCATTTTGCCTAACATTACATCTTGTATTGGTTGGTATAGTACTCTTTTGTGTCTTTCTGAATTTCATAATGACACAAGTGTGATTTGAGTAAGGGAGGTTTGTAAATTAAGGGGAGCAGTGAAGCACGTACCGTTTAAGAGCCGTATTCTGATGTTGTATTTTGTTTTTGTTCTACCGTGTTTCTTAGCTTGTCTTTTTCTTATTCTCCTTTTCTGCTTCGACCATGGCAACCATGTCCAAATTACCATCCACTATGGTAACCATGGTTATCATGGTACCAAAACAATGAAATACATTGTTTAATGACCCAAAGTATTTCATTGTTTTGGTACCATGATAACCATGGTTACCATGATGGATGGTAATTTGGACAAAAGTACCATAGTTACCATGGTACATTTTTGTAAGGATCTCCTTATTCTTCTCTTTCTTCTTCTCATTCCCCCTTTTCTCTTTTTCTTTTCCTCTGCTTCTCCTTCTCCTTCTACTTCTTTTTCTTCTTCTTCTTCTCTTCTCTTCTTGTAAGTTCTACTTAATTCTTACCATTTCTTCAACTACAGTTGAATCTAATCTGATGTATAGAGTTTTATAAAGAGTTATATAGTTCAACACAGGCGTGACGAATAGGTAGGCCTTTTGATAACTGCCCCGTGTTATAATTTGTGTTATTTTCTTTCAGTGTTGAACTAGAGAATGGCTATTAGTACTATCAGGACAGACGTGTCCATAGTTGGGAGCCAATGCGGGAAAACGAGTCTCCAATCTGCATTCGTCAAAGGCAGATTCGACCCTCGAGATTTTAACATCTCGAGAGCTGAAATTGAGGGAACGTCTTGCATAGAAGTAAATGGCCAAAAGGTACGTTTACACAAACTCAGCTCAGTGCAGCTGAGCGGTGGAGAAGTTAGAGTATGAATAACTAAAAATTAATTAAAACAAAAAAGATAGACAACAATTGTCGGTGCGTCTAGCCATTACGAGGGGACTGGTGTATGGGGGCGGGGGATAGGGGCACCGGTTTATGAGGTGGATGCATAAAGCACGACAAAGAACAAGCCATCGAGCGTGGATATTCGTTCCTCTCCTCGTCTCGCTCTCTTTTGTGTGTGTGTGTGGGGGGGGGGGGGGGGTGGCACCAACAATTAAGCTTGGTTTAAAAACTTTTATTTCTGCAGTGTGCATGGTAATTAAAGGGACACTCCAAAAATACCTTACTTTCAATAGAAGCAGAAAAATCAGATTAACTAATCAAAAAAGGTTTGAGCAAAATCGGATAACTAATAATCACAAGACAAATTGGCAACTCACTAATGAGTCTGTGACGTCATTGCCTCACTTTCCACTAATTGTTTTCTTTATATTGATAAAATAAATTTCCAATTTCCCCCCTAAAGATCTTATTTTCTCACACCAGCATCCAAGTTATATTGATATTTAGATTGATGTTTTTGTGTGGATGCACTAATTTAGAGTATTTTTTTTCTTCTTCAGTTAAATCATGAATAATGTGAATTTTGATAAACTATTTATATAAAAATCAATGATTATGAATATACAATATTCAGAAAATAGTATAAATCCTTCAAAGTTCATAAAAGGTTTTGTGAAATGTCATGCACGCAATATGATACAAATCATAAAACCTGGGCAAAGGCATGGGGAAATCAAGTTTTTGTAGATAAAAAGGGAAATTATAATGGGAAAAAAATACATAAAGAAATATAAATAGAAAGGCAATGACGTCACAAACTGATAACCAAATTGGCAATTCGTGTAGTGATTTCCTAAGTTCCATACTCTTTCATACTTTAAAATAAACAACTTATAACTACCTTAATAAGTATTCGATTTTACTCAATTTTTTGGCTGTGTTTCTCTTGTTTTTCTGCATCTATTAAAAGCAATTTATTTTTGGAGTGGACTTAGCCTAAAAAATCTCACTACCTCGAAATTTGAATAGTCTGATCATGGACTTACTAGACATAGTAAGTTCATGGTCTGATAAAGACGGAAAGAATAAATCATTTTGAATTAATTAATAGATAGCTCTGTAATCTTTGTAACATGTTGCAGTGTTTACAATATGCCTTAGCTTTACATTGCAACCAAGCTACGTGTAATCACATACAAATTAAGAATAATACAATAATTATCTGCCCATTTTAATATCATGACTGCATTTCTGCAGAATATCTTTGTACGTAGACGTGCAAATTTCACAAACCTCTAGGAAATGTATTATTATATAGTTGTTGGATGTTTACTAAATATAGTATTTGATTGTAGCACCAGTCTTATTTATCACGATTGCTAGATTGAGCTGGGAATATGGGATACACCAAGTCAAGAATTGTATTGAAGACTGAGAACTGACTTCGCATACCCCAAGACGGATGTTGTAGTTCTTTGCTTCTCGTTTGATAAACCCAACAGTTTTGAACACATCTCGGAGAAATGGATACCAGAGGTGAGACATAATGGTTCTCCGCAGTCAATATCCTAACGTAGATTAAAAGAAATTCTTATCTTTAACCCGACCCTGCATGGACCAAACACTATGGCCCGAATTCACAAAGCAAGGTTTGAGCTCAGACCAAGGTTTGAGCTCAAACCTCCTTTTGTTTCGCCAAACCTCCTTTTGTCATTTACAAACCTGGTTTGTCCAGTCAATCTAGCGATATTTAGGGGGTAACCCACCACCTCTACCTAACCACAACCCTGACCCTAAACCTTACCCAAACCCCATTGCAAAAAAAACAACCTATCGCAATAATTACCTTTGACAGAAGAAAGCCAGGGGCAAATGTTGGCAGCCCCGTTCCGGTTGATCTCATCTTATTGAAATGTTAAAAAGTTTTAAACATCATATTTAAGCGTTAGGGATTGGTGACCTTTTAGTTAATAGCTTATTACACCCTTTAGAGGGGCATGATATCTTAGTAATGTCCCTAATTTTGTCCCTGTGGTAGAACCTATGGGCAAAGACAAGGTCAAAGGTAAACGGTCAAAGCTGTAGGCTTCCCTTGGAATGTTACAGTATTCGAAAGGATGAAGATCAGTAGGTTTACATTGTTGAAATAGATCAGTATTCTCTTTTTTTCCTCATCAATATGTAAATGGGACCGTCAATACCTATAAAACATTTAATGAAGTTGGTAGACAAAGGGGACTGTGGTAAAAAATGTAACCGGTTTTACATAACAAGTTTCCTGTGCTTGGCATGAAAATAATATTAAAACAGTTATGACCTGGAAGTGAATATAATTATGGCTGTCTGAAATCAAGTCAGTAGAAGCAAATATATACAGATCATAATATATATAGCGCTTTCGGTGGAAAGCGCTTTATAAGTAACGTTTTTATTATTTATTATTATTATTATTATATTTTATCAATGGTCTGTACGTTTTTTTTAAATCCCTTTTTTAATAGGTGAAGAAGTACCTCCCAAAGGCACCTATCATTTTGGTGGGGAACAAGAAAGATCTTCAAAGTGACAAGGATACAATACAAGAATTGTTAAAGAAGAATCAGGAACCGGTTAAAACAGAGGATGCCCAGGCCCTAGCAGAAAAGATCGGCGCCATTTCATATCTAGAATGCTCGGCCAAGGAGAACAAAGGCATCAGAGAAGTATTTGAGGCTGTAGCATTGGCAGGAATAAAACAGGATGAAAAGAAAAAGTCATCGAAATGCACCCTCTTTTGAAAAAAATAAACCTAAGGTATCAGATTTCTGGCTTATCTGGGGGGTTGAAAATCGCTGATCGGACCAATTGGAATAAAAGTTCACCAGGAAAACCGTTTTTCATAACGAGTAAACTATTTTGATATAATATTATGTAAAGTCTTTACTTTTCTATTCTCATATATGTTTGTCATAAGCAGAGGCGGCACTCCGGGGGAAGGGGGGGGGGGGCGGAGGGGCATATGGGTACAGTGCTCCAGTTTTTTTAAGTGCCCCTTTTAACATAGGAAATGTGCCCTTTTTTACTTTGACAAGTGCCCCTTTTCCTTTAAATAAGTGCCCCATTTATTTTGACATTGCCCATTTCCCTTGTGATAAGTGCCCCCCATTTTTGTTTATAACGAGCCCTTCCCCTCTTCATAAACGCCCCCTGTTCACCTCTGATAAATTAATGATTAGTACCCCCCCCCCCACATTTTTTTTTGATAACGAGCTCTTCCCCCTTTTCATTTTGACAAGAGCCCTTTTTCCTTTTGTATAAGTGCCCCGTTTCCTTTTTTGATTAAAGGCCCCTTCCCCTTCTCATTAATACCCCCTTTTACCTCTAATAAGTGCCCCTTTTTATATAGCATTTAGTCTTGCCACTCATTATAGTTTTGTATTTATTGTATTTTGTATATTGTAATTTAGTTGTTGTTCATACAGTGTATGAACACAGATATTAAGTTGTGAACTTTGCACCCCAGATACTTCCGTTTAATTCCATGTTCATGTTGAATAGTAATCGTTGTTCGGGGATGAAAAAATTAATTACAATCAAATTGCAATTTTTTTTACAAAATCTAGAACTAGTCTGGTTATGGTGTTGTGTTCTTGATAAATCACTATTAGATCAAATATTTTTTGAAAATATTTTATGAGAAAATCAATTAAGATTTTAATGGTTATTAAATTCATTATGATATTTTACACGTAATTGTTATTTGTTTTACTTGTTATTATATCTTAAACTAAATCATAAGAATTTTTATATTTGATTATTTTGTTAGGCCCACATTAGGACCCCCTCCTTTCTAGCTGCTACCAGCCTGAGCAACTTCCCTTGTGTTTTTAACGATATTTATTTTTGTTTGTTAAATAACAAATTCTGTGTTTTTCTGTGTTTATCTGTGTTAGTAATTGTAATTGTGTGATACTTTGTATATTGCCTTATTTTAACCTGTAAGTTTTTTTTTTTAATGCTTGGCGAAATTAATTGAATTAAAGTGAATTGAATAATAATGTATCGACTATCTAGCCTGTTCATTGCATATTCTGTACCTCTTATTTGCAGATGACTGAAGTGAAGTTGTCACACATCGTTTTCTATCTTCTCTCTCTCTCTCTCTCTTTATCAAGGGAACAGTTTGTTCAACCATAAACTACAACCCAAATCCTACCCTTGTATCTTTGACAATATGCCGGGAAAAAAAATTGTTTCATGGTACGGGAACATGTCACTAAGGCTCTTAGACGAGTATTCAAAACATGTATTGTATAATTTTCTTGTATAAAGGGAGAGGGACTAAATGAAAAGACACAGATTGGAAAAAATGATATGACTCCACATACTTCTGTAATTTATTAATCATATGCACATGTATTCTGCTCAGTTGATCCATAAGAATAATAGCAAAACATTGATCAAGAAAAGGAACGTCAACAGAATTGCTCTACTGCAACGTTTTGAGAGATAGAGAGAGTTTTATATATATTCTAATACATGACACTATATACTACTTCTAAATAGAAAATGAAAAAGGAAATAAAATACACAAGTCATTTTCATCACGCTGAGAGAGCATGTTATACACAAGATTATAATATGCATTTATCTAGAATATTTTCCATTTGCCAAGATTAATACTTGACTATTAAAAGCAACTACATTCTAGATACTCTTTATTTAAGGATTACATATCTTCCACTTTAAAACTCCAGTACTGAAAAATTCAAAAAGTGAGAAAAAAGAAAAAAAAGAAAAAAGAAGGAATATGTATATAAAATATATATATACGCAGGCACAAAGACAACACACTGTTGGCCATTTGTACTTATAAGCTAACAAAGCATCGTTTTGTGCAGGTCATGTACAAGTGGGTGTTTTTTTTCCTTCTAAACTTTAAATTTGTATGTAATAGTTAATTCACAAATATACCAAGAAATGTCACAAGTCAGTAGTCTATGCAGAGCTTAGTTAGTACAACATCTTTTTCAATAACTATTAATACATGAAGAAAAAGTGGAAAAATATGACGCAGTTTAGTCCTCTTTCATCACATTCTAACAAAAGACACGACAGGGGAAAACATACATAAAGCAGATTACTCAGAGAATTTAACACTGTAACTATCTCATCAATATGAGCATAATAATACCTTGCAGCTAATTTATTCTAAAATTCAATAGTTTAAATCAATAATCAGCAAGTTTCCAAACTTATTTTATGGGAGATTTGAAAGGTTAACTGAAACCTATCACAAACCTTTTGTTATTTACAAACTGAGAACTATTTCATGTCATATTTATTTTTTTAAGTTTGATATTTTCTCTGAAGCCCTTTATTTTCCACGAAGACAAAAATATATAACCCCATCATTCACTATCCAGTTAACAATAATCTATGAATGAACCTTGCCATTAGTAGCTTGAGATAAATCAAGGTAAATAGAAATAAGTCTAAATCAATTCTATTTAATTTAAGGGGATAATATACATAAACATAAAGGAGACAGTTGTCTGGCATAAAGCATAGAAGTTTTCATTAGTATGTAACATGGAAAAGAAGCTCAAAAACAGTAAGGACATTTTCGACTGATGAAAATGCAGAAATCACTCTTTATGCTTTACATTTGGACAGAATCAAAGTAGCCAAGTTTCTGTCCTCATCATTCTGCAAATTATCGATCAAACAGTCAAACTTGTTGAAACAATAGGCACACACATTTGTAAATACAAAACAGCACTTAAATTCCAAGCAATTATAGAAGAAAATGACATTGAAAGGGTTGTAGGAATCACATCATACCATTAAACAGCAAAAACAATTATCATTATTATTCTAGAAATAATTTCACTGCAAATACATGTATGCCAAAACAAATACATGTATCTTCGATTTCGATTACTGTTTCATCTTTCTTTGTTTTTTCTTTAATAATCCGCTTTCTTTGATCCTTGTAGAAATGGAATAATTGCTTTTGCTGTTTGGAGGTAAAGTCTGTTCAACTTTTCCCCAAGGCAAGTTGCTTACATATAACTGGGCCATGTTTCATAGAACTTCTTATAAATGTTACAATAAGCGATTCAAGTTAACCGAGTGAAACTGAACTTGAGTGACTGTGAGAAAATTTGTTACATTATTACGATTAATATGATAGCTGTTATTTAGAAGCAGGTTTTATGAAACAAGGCCCTTCAGAGAACAGTTTGCATGGAATGGACTCGTCGAGTGACCAACACACTGCCGTCATTTACAAACAAAGATAAACATAACAAATTAGCAAAGCTCCTGCAAGTATGTCGTAAGCCTCACATCAACTGAGCAAGTAGTGTGCAGGGTCTACAAAATAACATATCCCATAAATATAAGTATATGTGAATGATACAATTATTAGACATGGAGGACGAGCAGTGCATGGGGATTACGATAGAGATATAGACAATGGAGTCTTGGTGTACGTTGACTGCTATCATTGCCATATTCATCACGTTTTCTTAAATTTAGTCTTGAAGATTCACAATCATTATACACTAACACACAACTACCACAGTTTACTTGTACTAGTTATTTACGACAGAACTCGTATAAAAACAATGTACAGTGTATATAATATCGTTTTGCAAACGCTGTGCAACAACTATCATTGCCCCTTGGTCAATCAAATATTCCCGTTTGTTCGGACATAGGTGCTAAATGGTCGTTGACTCTGAGATCACAGAGAGAGGTCAGCTTTCTTACGAGCTGAAATTTTCATCAAACTACTTTCACATTCAAGATCAACAACTTGTGTTTATCTTAAAAATCAACATGGTAGAGCCCGACTGCCCAGAGAGGTCATTTGAAGATCATAGCCAGAGACTATTTTTGTTTCTTCTAATAAAATAAATTCAGTACCACATAAATGCATTTAAAACTCATAGTCAACCCAGTTAGGTTCCTACCTTGTAGTCTACATTCATTGTGCTAACTGTACACCAATTACACAAGTAAATAGCCATTCCACTTCCCATACAGCCAAATTCTAACACATTTTGATAAGTTACATTTTTACCCTATGAAAGTCTTCCAAAAACCTAATGAATAATGCAAACAAACGACGAAAAAGCACCCATTTATAAATCTGTTGAGAAGCAATCTCGCATTCTCTCCTTTTTTTTCTTCAGAATTTACAGTAATTTACATCGGTGCAGACATACAGGGAACATGCCACGCACCATGTCCTATCAAGAGGATTTCATATCCTACGTGTACATGCTTTTAATATCCTTCCTTCCCTGTTTAAAATTTCATTTAATTTCATTATCTGTTTTTTGTTTTTTACAAATGGAATTGCTGGAATGCCTGACAGGATGTCCTTCCTGTCATAGTCAGTCGTGACACAATGCACAGAGAGAGGATCGAGGAACCTCCAAATGCAAATTGGCCACTGACCAATTAAAACCTACTTGCATAGAGCACTCAGTGAAACAGCCAACAGCATTCAGTGATAGTCTCTGAATGGGTTCGTGTCCACAATATGTAATCCTGCTAGAGCAATGGATAGTTGGATGCCATCCGGTGGCATGCACACCTTCACACACACTCGGAGTGCTACGGTATGACCAACAGCGGATGGCATACAGGATGAAGGTCAAATAGGCTAGTGCAGGTGAATAGATAGAATAGTAACCCTTTGGGAAAAAAGAAAAATCCCGAAATATTAAATCAAGAAGTGCACATGTCCCACATCAATAAGTTTAAATTTTACAAATTTCACGTCAATAAATATACCGTTATGTGATTTCTGGGGGTGTTCGCATGTTGAAACTCTTTCCAAAGAAGCAAATTGCGGATACATGGTCATGTTCATGTAGTATCTCCAATGAAGAAACTCCCAAGAAAAGAAACAAAATGCTCTGATTTCCATATTAGAAATTGCTTAAAACAATCGATGTCATAAACTTGGTGGCCAGCTTCCCTATTTGTGTGTTTATCATATGATGAATCGCACTATTTTTTCAACCAATTACTTATTTAATTCCTCCCTCTGAAACTAGAATACAAGCTGTAGGACAAATATCAGACCATTTATTGTTAATTAATTAGAACAAATGCAGTTTAGTTACCCCAAAATAGACGATACAAATTTTGCAACAATCTTCAAGTTTCAATTTCATATGATCCTTACGGTTTACACCTTCCTCAGTTAGAAATCAAAATATTTTTGTCTCTTTCCTTGACTAGCAAAACAACTTTGTCATTTTCTGTATACATCAAACAAACCTGACTGCTTCTCTTTGTAACTTGAAGCCATAAACGCTCTTGTAAATATACAAAAGAGACATGCTTAAGTTGAGGTTGTTCTTGATCTTGACTGGACATAACACATGACACCAGCAACTCTTCAAGGGAAAAGGAAAGAAAAGTGGTTTCGTTAAATCTGCAACTACAAATTAAGCCGATTGCCTCTTATTATCACGACAGCAATTAAACAAAGTATGCTGGCACTACCGCTGCTCTCTTTGACCTTCAAAGCACATCCAGAAATATTACATAATCGCTCTGTCCCCCAAACACATACATGTATATTAAATGCATTTATTCTTTTGAGGACCTCTTGTTGACCACTACCATGCTTTGCCAGCTTGCTTGCATGAAGACTTTCTCTTAAAAGATGCTGCATTTTGATGACTTCTTCTTTTTGACTTGTAGTGCTGCTCTGGTTGCCGTCTCAAACACTTCCCGGACACCATCGTTAGACTTGGCTGAGCATTCTAGGTATTTGTAGGCGTTGATCTTATCTGACATGGTCTGGGCATCATTAAATTTCACCGGTTCCTGCTTCATCTTACTCAGTTCCCGTTTTGTGGCATCATCATTTCGAAGATCTTTCTTGTTACCGACCAAGATGACAGGTACATTAGGGCAAAAGTGCTTCACCTATTTCAATGGGCGGAAGAAATGGGAAAAGGGGTCTGAATAAAAGTGACCTGTTGACATATTCTTTGAAATATTATCATTTGCACCCTTACATTTAGCTGTGCTACATGTATCTATACATATATTGAATATCTAAATAGAAATCGAAGCTTCTACCTGTAACATGGGCTTGAAACAATAATTGCGTTCATAAGCTCCAATATAAAAAAATATAAAAAATAGGAACAATGATTCTATAAGTGCCCCGAGTTCTCGAAATAAGTATATTACAGGTAACAGTATTTTCTGACTCTTTCCAGCTGAATCTTTGAAAATGATCCTATAATATGCAATGCTAGATACAAATCTTGAATCTACAAAGATGAAGATGAGAAAACCATACCTCTGGTGTCCATTTTTCTGGGATGTTTTCTAAACTGTCTGGGTTGTCAATTGAAAAGCACATGAGTATAACGTCTGTGTCTGGATATGAGAGCGGTCTCAGTCTGTCGTAGTCTTCTTGACCTGCTGTATCCCATAATGCCAACTCAACCTGAGAAATGGATTTAAAATAGAGGGAAGATCAATAATTAATTTGACAGTATAAACAGATGCAACACGCATGTAATTTCACATCACAAACACTTTTATCATTAAAGATTTTTTCAAAACTTCAAAACTTCTTTCCTGTAATTTCTTTCTATGCAAATTTGCAGTACTCACTTTCTGTTTACCCAGATGGGAAAGGATTATAGATATACTAGAATTCACACTGATTCTACAATTCTCTGCATTTTGCCCATTTCTAGATGCTAAAATATCCTTTTCACCTACCGCTACCACCACAGTTATTTTACAGAATTGCAAATGCTGCCCCTTCAACTTATCTTTTGATCATACATGTAGTGTGACGGTGTCATGTCTAGATACTAACAAAAATTATTTCTGAATTGTTTCTCTATGTCATCTACAGTTGTGTCCAATTATTATTATTATTATTATTATTATTATTTATTTGACCAATCGGAAAACATACAATGAGTATAACAATCAGATAATACATAGACATTTCATAATTCATTCAAACAGCTTTATGAAAGTGGAGAGGAGATAGAGAGAAGGAAACAATCTGCTGGTCAGGGGTGACAAAAGCAATTTAAATTGCTATTACTCGAAAGCATGTCACCCCCCACAGTCTCCATCCTGGAAAATTAAGAGTAAAGAACAGAATAAAAATTCACAATATAGTAATTAAGTTTGAGATGTGTGTGGCTGAGCTTCGTTTATAAATATTTGGAAGAATTTATCTTTTGTAGGATCTTTCGTGACTACAGATTCCAATTTGATTTCTTCATACTAAATGAAAAAATCACAACCCAGAGAATAAATGGAAAGGATTATTTTAATATAATTTTCAGGCCATTGTTGCATTAAAAAAGTCATTTGTACAAAAAATAATGATATACATGTAATAAGATCAATAACAATAACTAGACAAATATGACTGCACGTCTACTGTTTCCATCTATGTTCATCAATATTTCATTCAAAACAAAAGAAAACATTATTTTTTACTCACTTGTTTACCGTCTACTTCTATATCAGCTACATAGTTCTCAAACACAGTTGGGACGTAGACTTCAGGGAACTGGTCTTTGCTAAATACTATGAGCAGACACGTCTTTCCACAAGCACCATCTCCAACGATAACCAACTTTTTCCTTATAGCAGCCATTGTCTTAGTTTTTCACACTGCAAGCAAGGAGAGAGAAAAAAAAGGGAAAATTATAAAATTGCTGTTTGCAGGTCCTTATTCCTCCAAAGATTGGTGGAAAAAAGTCTAAAAGTTGATGTACCTGTAAAAGTAAGATAATGTGGGTGGTGACATCGGTGTGAGGTTCCTTTAAAGTTAGTCCTGTAATAATAATATTTATGAAAGTTGATTTCACCTGTATCATGGATCATGATTTTGTTATGCAACAAATGTTGCCGTCACATGTACTGTTGTAAATGTACATGTATGTACGTATATATCACAGCACTACATGTATATTGGAAAAATCACAATGACCGAGTCACAATTGACATGTAGAGTGCAGAAGAGCGTTTCAAGTTGAAACATAACAACAGGTATGGTACATGTACATGTATTGTGAATTTCAACCAGCTTACATTCAGAATCATCAACTTCTTGGAACGAAACTCAAGTTTACACAATAACATGAAAAACATTGAATCAGACAGAGGCGATCATGATCAAACGACTTCCAGGTGTTCACTTGATCTGCCGACATGTAAATGTACATGACTGTTCTCATTTACAAGAGATACAGTGTAGCACAATCTACCATGTTGTATTTCCCGAAGACCTGCTGCACTTTCACCTCTAGATTAAGAATGGGATATCTGACTCTCAAGGCCTGTCTTCATCAGCTTGAGTTTGCAAAATAACCTGCTATTCTAACTATCCCGATCACTAATTCACCAGTTAATTTGCGTCTTCATCAGCCCGCAGTTGCAATTAGCGGGATATTTGGTCGAGAAAATATCCACAGGATTCTTGGTCTTGTTTCCAAAATATCCTGCTATTTGCGTACGTCTGAACTAGTTAGCGATGAGTGTATTATCGGTCTGGTGAAGTTGCAATTTCGAGCTTCGGGATAATATCCCGAGTTTGAAAATAGCGGGTTATTTGGCAAACTCGAGCTGATGAAGACAGGCAATTCTCTCTCTCTTCCCCCTCTTCTTCACGCATGCTTCTTCTTGCATAGCTATAATACTAATTTCTAGTTGTTGATGCCATGCCGAAATGAAACTCAGCAGGTGTACCAAGCCTACAGCTGATAATTTGCTCAGTTGGTGTGGGGGCGGGGGGGGGGGGGGGGGGGGGGGTGAAACATTTATAAGTGATGGGGGTATACATAGCTCACTCTACATGTATATTGTGCATGCAGGCCATCTCATTTTCACTTGACATGTTTTCATTAAATAATAATCTATTCTTAATTTTGATGAAGAACAGGTTATTGGAACAAATTGTGTTGAATATATCCTTTCATTTTTTAAGCTGTATCAAAAGATACGGTACATGATATTTGTTTTCAAATTTTGTCCATTGTTTCTAATAAATTTGCCTGTAGACACTCAGCTAATCTCCTCTGCACAGTGTTTTTACACAAAATATTTGTCAAAATGCATGCAATACATTTTCTAATTGGTTTCACACATGCTGGTCGCTCATGTGGAATTACAATTATTGGCAGGAATTCAGGAAATACAGTAGATGTAAATTCTTTTTTACCCTCTCAAAAATTACAGAGAAAAATAAATTTTTATTCTTTAGCAGTTTAAATTTTTTTCAGAACCTTTCAATTTACCCAATAACATTAAATGCATACATGTAGATCTGTCAAAAAAAGTATGCCTGTACATGCGTGATTTTCTTTTAATTTCTTTTTCCTTAAAGTAATATCACTTAGCATGATAAATCAGGCGTCCTAATTTGACCTTACTTATTCCAACATAAGAGAGAGAGAGAGAGAGAGAGAGAGAGAGAACGTGCTCACATGTACATCTTAAAGACGGTCTCTACTCTCTATTTGGTCACGGTAGAAAAAGTGAGATCATGAGAGAGACCGAACTCGAAGTGCTGCAATAATCTGAAACCATGCTCCATAGGGGGCCTGACTCATATATGTTGGTCAGCGCAGTGAAATGGGGCAACTCCCCTCAGGAATGCAAACAACTGATCACCGAGCATTGCATCAGGGATGACATTAAGCAATCAAACTACATGTAGTTTAAAAATGTAGTAGCACAAGAGAGAATTTCAAAATATTGCTACCTCAACAGTGACTTTGAAAAAACTATGAAAAGACAACATTCACCAAGATGATTTTATAAAGTATCACAATGGAGCTACATGTACATGTATAAAATACATGTACATGTAGCTTCGTTTGCTTACCGGTACCTATATATTTGTTTACATTCTCTGCTCTCATACATTTGCTACTAAATTTATGCAGCTGATTTTAAGTATGAAACATTTACTGTATTAGTATTGTGGAAATCTGTAAGAACTTATTTTTTCATATATATTATCAGAACAAAATTTCACAATGTCTTAAAAGGCAGATCACTTCGTTATGAAGTTTGACTCATTTATCGGACTATTCGACCCTTGTAATAGTTTATTTGTATGAAAGCAGAAAAATGAGATAAACAAAATGAGATACATGTTTGATATCACAAAAATAGGTACAAATCTCAAATTGGTTCATGGATTGTTATGTAGACACAGACAAATCTCCTGTTTGTTGTGTGTACAACAATATCATTAATTTTCTGTTTTTCTCTCAAGTACCTTCATATTATAGGTCCTCTAAAAAAAAGAGAGTAAGAGAAGTCGTTCATTAATGAAAAATTGAAATTATAGTCATTTTGTGTGTTGGATCAAATGGGAAAGATGTCCGCCACTACTTTGCAGAGAGTCAGAGACACTACTGAAGTACCGATTCACTCCATTTGAAGAGCCTTTATCTATTGCCATTACAACATTTAAAACTTCACGACTTTCTCATGTCTCATTTCTCATCTTTTGTCTGATTTCATTTAAAATTTCACCAGTCTGCTTCTCTTATTTTTCAGCTTTCTTCTAGAGGAGTTTACTATCCTTAATGGCGGCTCACATGTTCTGCCTCTTCTTTTAGACTAATCTTTATTAACTTCAAAGTCATGGAAAGGCACTTAATATCAACGAACATGGTCTACAACAACTCTAAATGAAAAATTAGTCCCAGCTTTGTGATTTTTAGTATCTGATAGCCTAAAACCATTTTCAGCACTTTTTGAGGGCACACAATTATTTTCTCATTGCCATTCGATCTTCTGGTCAACTTAAATTGATCCGCGATCAGATCGTATCATCTGATTTGTGTAAAATCAGCAGCGATTGGCCCCCTATCCGATTATCGGTTACAGGGTAGAGGAAGTGGAATTCATGAATTTTAGTAGAGCATTTCTAGGGGAGTGGGAGAAATAATTTAGTGTGACCAAGGGGGTGGTGGCTAAAAATAACTACCGGTATACATACATGTACACAAGGGGACCAGCATTCTGAAAATGGAGTTATCTTTGACGTAGTAAAACAATGACAATTAACATCCTTTTCAGTTTTCCCTAAAATAAAAGATAACATATTTTTCTGAATACAGCCTCTAAAGCAGGCCTTCTCAACTGGTGGCGCGCGCTATTTGTGGCGCTTGCGGTCAGTCGGAGTGGCGCGCGACTGTTGCAACAACAAAACAAAAAACAGAAAGAAAGAAAAATATATATTTTAGAATTAAATACTCAGTTAAATCAAGAAGTTGCAGTCGAATTTGAGCCCAAAATGCCTGCTTAACAAACAGGAAGCAAGGGGAATTTATAGTTTTTACCATTTTGTACGAATTTAAACCTACGGTCTGAACAACAATTAGCTTACGATTGGATACCAATTTTAACATTGCCAATCTCTGGAAACATCTTGTTTTTGTTTGTTTGATTTTCACTTTATTTTGACAATTCCCGTGTTGCACATAAAAAACTTCATATAAATATACCTCCAGTGTAATTGTGCCCAGGAATTGTACTAATTTTATCACATCAATATGAAATCATGATTGATTATATTGTGGAATGAAATGATATTAAAAATGCCCCATTTGGGCCATTAGAAAGCCCTAAATCCACCAGCTTCGGGGGGCTCTGCCCCCTGCTACCCCCATAATTTGTTTGAGCCTGCCAACTAAAGCATGCAAAATATCAGTATCAGAGAAAGGCTGATAAGTGATAACAAGTTGCCAATATAATGACTGTACAGCTAGCCATAGCCCTAGCATGTCATTTGAAAAATAATACATTCTTTTAAGTTAAGATTATCTTTTTTTCGAACCAGCGTGTACCGTTATTAAAAAATCTAAAAGTGTATCCATTTATTTTAGACCTGCTAGCGACACAGTGGCTAGCTCAAAACGAGCAGGGTCTGTAACTTCCCCATGCATTCAGCGACATTCTCCACACCATTTACACTAAATCAAGTCCCTGCTTCCATACAGTCAGTCTATTGGCAATGCGTCATCAGCCTTTTTCAGGTACCAATATTTTGCAGTTGGCTGGCTCAACACAAGTACACAGCGATCCAAACGTGGTGCTTTCAAAGCAATTTTCATAGCTTAGGAAGCATCAGGACTCAGGAGTATGGGTTAGTGATTTACAGGGGCTTTTTAAATTTTGTCAAACCCAACCTATGTGCATTGGGTGTGCCCCAGGGGATTGTTTCATGATACTCTCAAGATAAAAAAAAATCTAGACACTGTAGCCTAACTTGCCCACTAAGAAATTTGAACAAAAACATATTTGCTAAGATGAGCGACAAATTCCCTAACAAGAGACTAATCAAGACTCCAAACCTGTCATATCTTTTTACAACACCACATACATGTACATATGACATTATTATTCAATAAATACATGTTAAAAATGTAAGTCATTAAATATTTTGTTTTCATTATTTTCTTAAATAGAAATAAAATCAGAGTCTTATATCATTTGAATATGAGTTACGGTATACCCTTCCTGCAAATTTTGATTTGTTTGTCACAAAAGCAAACTTGAGTTATAAATTCTTAAATGTTATTAGTAACACATATTTTAATGCATTTGTGCTACCAATCTCTTAGATTTTTTACTTTTTTTAGTTTGAGAAAAAGTTTCAGAAAAGCTTACAAGTTACATGTACATGACGTTCTAAATTTGCTCAACAGCTGTGCAGCCCAAACAACTATCTGTGTCGCGTGATAGGCAAAGCATAGGCATGTTACTAAGCTGCGGCGCCTGTTAAGCTCCATTGTCAAACTCCTCCTCCTTTGTTGTGACATTGCACATGATGCCATCGCTCCCTCGTTATTGACATCGTGCGCATGCGCAGCATGTCTGGGCGCTGATGGCGTGACATCCTACTTCTAGCGTGTCTTCCAGGCTAGTACAACAGCACTGCCAGGGCGGTACATCTATGTCTATGTCTATGTATCTGAAGTCCAGGACATGTCACAGACTAGACCGAAAGCTTCAGTCTCTAATATTGATGATTCTCCTGCCCAGACTATTTCTGGCTCCACTGAACGTTCCATACAGAGACTGAACCTGAAGTACATCGTATGGGTTAGTGAGGAGAGGTTACGGCTTACGCAACGCAGTTTGTATATGATTGCCGATCTTATCGCAAGCAGTAGGCCTACATGTAGCTTTACAAAAATGCTAGTTATCCCCCCCCCCCAACCCTGTGTATGCTGTAAGGGTTACTCTACAAATGTCAGTTTTATTGAAGAATTCCCCATACCAGACGGTTATTTCCGTCTACTCTTCGTCATTGACTAGACCATGCAACAACAAACAGTAGGGGCGGGGCGCTGGTCCGAGGATAAGGATCGCCCGCATAAACGATATCTTCGTAAACGCGGACAAATCTCGTCCTTAGAAATAAGCATCTTTCGCTCTGGGGGGCGTAGGGTTATCGATCCGCACTGGCAATGCGAAAAAAGGATTCCGCATAGTAAAATACTCCCAGTTCACTGTCTACTTTTAAGAGTTGTCCGTCTTCCAGAGGATTTATCCTTCACAACATGCAAGTCTCTGCTGCGTATTCGAGAAGTGCATCATCAACGCAGAATTCATTTTTCATCTTGCCAACGTGCGGATGGGTAAATACGGATCGTCCACAAAAATGCGGACAACCCTCATCCTCGGACCAGCACCCCTACTGACGAAGTAATTGGATAGATTCACATTGATCGATCAATGAACTAAATCAAGCATGACTGACTATCTTAATTCATATCATATGAAATGCTCATTTATCATTGCATGTAAAGTCTACGGACATGAACACAAAGCTGACACAGACAAATGTCCTCCATGGCCATACATATACAGCAGTGCATGCATGCAAATTGCAATGATAAACAGCAATGAGCAGGACCTGCTCACTCACTGCAGTAAATCACAAGTGGCATGGTGGCAATATTTTAATGTTTCCCAGAGAAATTTACATCCCAAAGCACAAATTTAGATTATTTGAGCCTTTGAAAACAAAATTACTTACTGACAGCCCCCTTTTTAATGATACGGTACAAATGTAACACAAATAGTCAAACGATTCATGGAATACTTCACGCTCAGTTCTGCCAAGACACAGTCGTTTCACACAAACAATACAATCGAATTCACACACCTGACTATGTGTGCATGCAATGCCTGTGTAACGAGAAGGAATAGCTGGCTACAAATACTCAGAACTTCGACAAAGTGGCCCTTTTATCACAAGAAATAGCCATAGAATAATAAATTATCATGAATAGACATTAATTTCAAGTACTCTTTTATAATGTGGTAACGTTTCTTGGCACAAAAACATTTCGTACTTACCAAATTTCATAAAATAGTACCAGGAAGAGGCAGATTACACCCCTTGATTATGTACTCATCCCGTGTTGTTCATATGCGAGCCACACCTCGCAATTGCTCCTATAGGGGGTAGGACAAATGAAGCAATACTCGTACCCCCAAATGACGTTTCTGAAATAGCGGCTGCTACGGTCACCGGGAATTTTCAAAGTCATAGAACATGTAACTGAGAACATACCGCTTAATTTGATTTTGGGGATCCACAATATTTCCTAATTTACTCAGAAAAGGAGTAGAGTCAATATTTTTCAAATAAAACGCATAAAAGGTTTACGTGGATATTCAAAATCAAAGAAAACCTCTTTCGAGATGGCCCGACGGAACTCAAAATGTAAAATTGAACATTTGCCTTTAATTTGATAAAAAATTGACATAAATACCATACCTTTATATCCACGCATCTCACTTCATAAACAGAACAAACAATACCGTAGAGTTAATTAGACCTTCTAAAAATGAATGTATGCTTGAATCTATTTATAACCTATAACAAATATTAGAGTGAGAGAGAAAGAAAGACAAAAACGCACAAATAACTTACTCGTCTCTGCAATGACGATTCTCTGAAGCAAAACAAAAATCTGCAGAGCTACTCAATGGACTTTCCAATTTATACAGGACTCAAGTTTCATTCTATTTTTAGACAATAAGTCATATCAGCGGTCTTGGCTTGAGTGAAGGGCGTGCTCTCGCATATGGTCCATGGTTCTCGCAAATGGTGCGATACATCCTGATCAGAAACAACTGGGCGTGGCCTATTTATTACGCAATAGCCTGGAAGATTCCCGTGGCGAACATGATAAATAAGAAGTTTCCTAAAAATGTGTGGAGAAAGAACTGGTCGACAATGGCGACCGAGCATCTTCCAAAGTGGGGATCGGGGGGGGGGGGGGGATCGGGGGGGGGGGGGGGAGGGCAACAACAACAAAAACTTTCTTGAAAAAGAACCATCCGACAAAGCAGGCGCGTAGCCAGGGGGGGGCGGTGGGGGCGGTCGCCCCCCCCCCCAAAACGCCGGCCAAAAAAAAAAAAAAAGAGAGAGAAAAAAAGAAGAAAGGAAGAGGACGTAGGAAGAAAAAAGATAAAGAGTCGAGAACGGTACAACGAATCGTCTTCTTTCTCTAATAATTTAATGAAACGTCTAAGCTTCCGCGCTTCGCGCGGGAGGGGAGGGGGGAACTGAATTCAGATAAGGATTAAGAATCGAGAACGGTACAACAAATCGTCTTCTTTCTCTAATAATTTATGAAACGTCAAAGCTTCCGCGGGAGGGGAGGGGGGAAACTGAATTCAGACAAGGATTAAGAGTCGATCGAGAATGGTACAACGAATCTTCTTCTTTCTTTAACGGTCTAATAAAACTTCAGAGCTTCCGCGCTACGCGCGGAGGCAGGGAACTTGATTCAAACAAAGATTAAGAGTCGAGGACCGTGACGGTACAGCGAATCGTCTTCTTTCTCTAATGAAACGTCAACAGAAACTGAATTTAGATAAGGATTAAGAGTCGAGAATGGTCCAACGAATCGTCTTCATTCTCTTATAATTTGATGAAACCTCAAAGCTTTCGCGCTTCGCGCGGGAGGGGGAAACTCCCCCCTCCCTGCACCCTCCCCCCTAGGGAGCGCGCTACGCGCGCTCTGTAAGTGATTCGCACGCTTCGCGTGCTCACTACCGCCCCCCCCTAAAATGAAATCCTGGCTACGCGCTTGCGACAAAGAGTGGCTTCAAAGCGGAAAAAAAATACAATTTTCAGACATTGTTATGCATAATTAAGCTCTAAATAATATTGCATTGCATACAATCATTATCAGGGATGCTGTTCAAATTCTTCTCTTTACGTGGTCCAAAAAACTGCTTCAGCCATACTTTAGGCCTATACCGATGGTCTGAATATATTGCGAGCGAGAACAAAGCTAGGGAGCAATTATTTAACAATATTTTTTGAGTTTATAATGCGACCGATTAGTTCTCATTCATCCTGATGGGGTTTTATGTACAATCTCATAATGAAAAATGAATAAGACCTTTAATGCGAGCGAGCATAGCGAGCGACTTTTGGAAGAAATTTGAGAAAAATTGCTATAATTCAAAATTCTAAATTAGGGGCATATGTTAGGGGCTATATTGTTTCCGGGGAGATGAGGGGTGATCGCAAAATCTTGTGTATTATAGCACATATATCTACGTCTTTTCAAACATAATGATTTTTGGTAACGTAAACAAGGTTATATATTCTTGAACATAAGACAATTCGTTACCTTGGCATAGAGAAGAGACTTTTTCAAAACGAGCACTATTATTAATACGTATAAAGGGGGCACGGACTGTTCTTAAGAATGTTTGGGCTCCCAGGGGTGAGGGCAAGGGAAGGCGCGGATCCACCGGGAGTAGCCCGACGGGCCCGCCCCCTCCCCCTGACCAAAAAAAATAAAATAAAAAATAAAACCATTAATAAAAAAGAATTTGCTCACGAATTTGAAAAAACAAGAGTGCTCTTACTCCCCCCCCCCCCCCCCCCCCCGTTTATTCACCCGCTGGCTGAGTCGCCGCTAAATATTTTCTCAGGGATAAGGCCCCCCCCCCCCTCTTGCCGCCGGCTGGATTCCCCTATTAGTTTTTACATATGATAAGTGCCCCTTTCTCCTTCGACAAGTTCCCATTTTCCTTTGCAATAAGTGTCCATTATCCATTTTCATAAGTGCCATTTTTAATTTCTAGTAAGTGTCCCTTTTCAGGTACGAAAAGCGCCCCTTTTACTTTGACAAGTGCCCCTTTTATTTTATAAGAAATGCCCCTTCCCATTTCTAACTCCGATAAGCGCACCTTTTATTCTCACATGTGCAGCCTTTTCTTTCTAATAAGTGCCCCTTTTGCTTATGATAAATGTCCCCATTAAAAAAGAGCTCCTTCCCCTTCTCGTAAATGCCCCTTTTTACCTATGCAAAGTACCCCTTTTTCTTTCTCATAAGTGCCCCTTCCCCTACTTATAAGTCACCACTTTCATTTCTGATAAGTGTTCCGTATATTTTCACATGCGCTTCTTTTTTCTCTTTTTTTTTACTCGTAAGAGCCACTTCCCCCCCCCCCCCCCCTCTCATGAAAGCACCCTCAGATCTGATCGGTGTTCCTTTTCTATTAACGAATGCACATTTTCCTTTATCATACCGGTAAGTGCCCCTTTTTTATTCTCATATGAACACCTTTTATATCTGGTCAGTGCCCCTTTACAGGTGCGATAAGTGCCCCTTTTCACCTCTAATAATTACCTTTTAACAATGATACGTTCCCCCTTTTCCTTTCTAATAAGGGACCTATATCACCTTTTCATAAATGCCCGTTTTCACCTTTTATAAATGCCCCTATCAAAATCTGATGGGTGCCCCATTTCCGTCGACAAATGCCCACTTACCATCCTCATAAGTGCCCTTTTTCAGGTATAAGAAATGCCCCATTTTCACCTTTGATCATTACCCTTTGTACTTTGACACATGCTCCTTTTCTTTTCCTATCGGTGTCATATTATCCCTTTCGATAAAATGTCCATTTTTCCTCTCATCGTTAAACGTGCCCCTACTTTAAAGCGTCTAAGAGCAATTCCCCTTATCAAAGGTCTTTTCGGTCTTTCGTTATGCATGAATGTGCTTATAACCCCATCAGTATTGGGTTTTTTTTTGATAAGATGTAATTTTTCGCACTATCACCTCTAAAATCTTTAAAATATCGCAAATGAATATTTAAACCATCACACCCAACTGCAAAGTATGATGCTTAAGCAATATCTTGTATGATTTATAAAGAGAAACAAATATTGAAAGCATCCCAAATAATGTAATCACAATATAGGGGTATATACCAATGTCTAAAAAGATGTATATTTTCGCTTTGAGATTTTCCTTTGTAGGTGCCCTTTTTTCTCTCCAGAAAGTGCCCTTTTATTGTTGTCACCCCCCCTACTTTTGAAGTCGCTCCGCCGCCCCTCCTATCTCCACTGCCTATCATCGTAGTGCATGATATGGGAAAAGGGTTCATGTTGTTCTTGTTACACAAACCAATCCGATTCTTTGAAACTAGGCATTCTAAATTACTGCAAAAGTGCACAATTTGTAAGCGACGGTGGAAAATATAGGTAAAAAAGGACACTCATCAAAGCGCAATTACCACAAAAATAACAAGGGGAACTTTTTTTGAAAAGTTACTTATCAGAAGTGAACAGAAGGCACTTATGATACAGGGGGAAGGAGCTTATAGAAAGATAAAGGGTCAATTTTCCTTTGTAAAAAGGACACTTTAGGGGTACTTGAAAAAAAAAGTAGGTGCACTGCCTGTAGAGATGCTTCTGTTCACTCCAAAATAATTACGATATTAAAAAAAAAATCTTTTAAGCACCGATACGGCCAAACCCAGGGAATTATTTATCTGATCCCGCATCCGATTCCGCCCTGTTGTTGACGTTGTTTTGCATAAATTTAGGAGATATTATAACACGGTAATGATAATGTCATTTGGCATTTTGTTCAGCTACTATGGCACTTGACAACAAATCAATTAAGAAAATGAAATGTTTGGACAGAGAAGTAAACGAAAAAGTATACCTCCATCTTGTATCACATTAAACTACGTGCAGTTACGAAGATAAGAGCGAGTCATTTATATACATGATATGAATGTATATACCGGTACATAAAATTGATATAATCATTCTCGCCTTTTGCTAATTATATGAAACGACGACGACGGAAAGCACAATCTTATTCCTTCTTTTAAAGTCTTCGAGCATATTAATTTTAGGCCCTATGTGAAAAATGACATGTTCTATATACCAGTGCAATATTTTATTAGTTATGAAGTGTGTGACCGTGTTTTGTAATGTGCATAATCTGGGCTAGAACACCTCTTTTTTTATAGAAATGTTACTAGCACAGAAGAAAACGAAGTTTATCAAACTTTGACAAAAACAAAGATGATATACCATTTCTTTTTCACTCCACCCAGTATTAACATGCTTACATGTACTTGCCATGTGTTCAATGTTCTTTTCCCCATCTCCTGGATCACTAGAAACAAGTCCTATCCATTTTACCTACATTTATGAATGTGTTGTTTCATATGGAGTAATACTTTCTATTTCAGTTGAATTAACATTTAAATATCACCCCTCTCGGAGGTGGAGGGGGGGGGGGCGTCTTCAAATATTTTCGCTATCATTGACTATTAGGTATCTATATCTATTCTAAAACTTCAAGTTTCTTAGGGGGGCAATAACGCCCAAACGTTTTCAGAGGGGTCAGGACTGAGAGGGGTGTAGGGGGCCCTATTGCCACCCTTGACGAAGTTGGCCATTAATATCAAGATTGCTAGGTAATGGGACATTTGGACAACATTCATTAGAAACTAGACAAATGCGACTTCGTCTCCTATATGCCTCCGCCGTAAAATCAGTTAAAGAAATGGATTGAATTGTTCTTGAAATATTATTGTAAAAACAAAAAATCCTATAATTACAGACCCCTATGAAATTTGACCTTTGACCTTCCTACCCATTATAATCTAATCAGATTGTTTTCCCATGATACACACCGTCACCAAATTTTTAATTCATATCTCAAGTGGTTCTTGAGATATTGCGACAACGAGGCTAATAACTGTAGTTTCGGAAATTGACCTCTGACACTTGACCTTTATACCCCTAAATCTCATCAGCTCGTCTTCTTTTGGTAATAGTCATCAAGTTTAAATTTCATACCTCAAGCGCTTCCCCGGATATTGTGATACCGAGAAAGCAAGACGAGAGCAAAACAAACAACCTCGCGTATTTCATTTGTAGTGACCTGTGACCTTTGATATTGAGAACTAATACTGCATAATTCAATTGCCTTTTGCAGGCAGTTTTTTTAATAACCTTGGAACACAGGGTTAGAAAGGTTTGCCTATAAAAAACCGAAGTAAAAGCTTTCTCTATCCTAGCATTGCTTTTGACTAAATCTGATTCCCTTTCCACTCACTCTCCGTATAATGGATTAATCTTTATGTCAACATTGTCTTCTATTAACCATTCTGCACTCTCCTCTCTCTCTCTCTCTCTCTCTCTCTCTCTCCCTCTGGTGCTGTCACAATTGCTCCTGGCATTATTTCATCAAAGAATCAGGGTTAGGGTCAGAGATGCAGTTGGATTTTAGAATTAGGGTTAGGTATAGTATTTGGTCTGAGGTTGAAGTTGACTTTGGGTTAGGGTAGGATATTGACAGTGGAGCATATGCAATCAACCCCCTCCGATGCATACATTGTATTTGTCTTTTCGATTCATTCAAGTATTTCCAGTTATATGGGTCTCTTGCAAATATCTCTCTTTTTCAATTTCCTGTTCATTTCACTGCTCCACAAATATGTACTTTCACACAATGCTTTTCTTGAAAATTTTCCACATGATAACATCATTCAATAGCCTTAGAAGCACTGTTTGAATCTTTCTGTTTATGTCATTCTCACTCTGGAAGTGAGAAGGGGGTCTCAAAATTGATCATGCTTTGTAATTTTGATGCCCCTTGTAGAAAATGAAATCTTAAGAAAAAATAAATCTCATCTGAAATTTTGAATGAGAAGAGACACATGTCTTCTAAAGGGGCACAAAGGTGTAAATTTCTTATTGATATAATTATCAAACAAAACAAATCTTGAATGCAAATAACCCCAACACTTGTAAACAGACAAAATAACAACAATCAATGTTGAATACAGTTTCATATAACACAGAAGTTGCCAGTTTATTTTCATCTCCATAGTGCTACTGACATCATCATGTCATACAATATTGACATGAAGTCCCTATGACTAGTTATAGAGTTATGAAATGTGATGATCCATTTTTTCTTGGAGCGAATGGACTGATTTTATAGCAGTTGTGTAAAAAGCTTTTGGGTGGTCATATGGCAAATAATCTACACAGAAATTTACAAGATGCCCATATGATTTATTCTTGTAATTACTTCTGACCACCCCCAAGCAGAAGGTGATTAGTTTATTACCTGGTTCAGATATATTTTTCTCAGTGAAATTTCAGGACAAGTTAAATTCTTCTTCTTGTGCAACATCCAAGTCATGAATAGACTTTATAAATACATTTATAGTCAATCATTATTCATATTTGGACAGAACAGCTGGTGGAATTGACAATGCATCAATTACACAGCAGATGCATCATATCACCTTTCACTTCTAGTCTTCATATGTGATTGTGTGTTTTTTCTTTTCCAAAAGTGGAATAGACGAAAATGATGTTGACTTTCTGAAAATATAATCAGAATTTCGGGATGCCTCAATAAACGTCCTCTTACATCATAACACAAACAGCAAACGCTGATATATAAAACTCTTGCACAAATAAATTCTCTAACATCATTTTTTAGATCTCTAATCTCCTCTCAAGAATTGAGGTTAGAGCCTGATCCAGTACATGCTAGCACGTATTCTGTTGTAGTCCGGGAGCTGTTCCACAGGTCCTGTAGAGTAGGAGGAAAAGCAAACAGTAAATAATTACGCAAATGTCAACATCAATGAAAGTTTTCCACAATACATCAACACACATGCAGACTATATCCTTCATGAACATTATTAGTTCCAAATGGAGCAAGAGTCTTGCACATTGCCTGAACTTTCCCATACCAGTTGATGACAGAGCAAACCATAACTGAATACATAATTTGCACTATTGATATACCTGTAAAGCTCTTGGGATACATTGCAGATGTACAAAGTGCTTTATAAATCCAGAGTCACTTTTACAGTTATTTCAAGGCTCCACATTTCTCTTCTCTTTTTTTACTGGGGGTCCTAGAGAGAAATATTTATGGTCCGCATGTATTTGAATCCTGTTCCAATTTTGAAATATGAGAGGTCCAGAGTTAACTTGGAGGCCATTACCCTACTCCTGTTAGTGTTGGGTCCTGGTTATTTTCAGGATATTAAGACAACCTCTTGCTTTTCTATTTTTTAATGAACTATTAGTTATTTGGAAACGATGCAACTTACCGACTCCAGCAACAGCTGGGCATTTGTCATAGATGTAACGGGTGCACACATCACGGATGGTCTTGGCACTGATGCTGTCGATCCTTGCCTCCAGTTCTGGGAGTGGAATACGACGTCCGTAGCAGAGCATCTGGCGGCCAATGTCTTCACAGATTGGGGTCGACCCTGGGTTGATATTAATGATGTAATTATATTTAATTTATGACTTTAAACTCTTAAAAAGGTTGAAACAACTGCAGACTAGATGGAATTCGACTGCGCGCAGTCGAAAATGATGCCTCCGTCATAGAGCAATTTTACAAACCAAAACAGAAGACATTTTTCGAATTCAAGTTCAATTGTAATCCATTAACAGGTTCTCAGAATATCGTGATTACAAGCAATTTCTCATATACATATATGACCCTTTGATCTTTGACCTCATGACCCTAAAATCTACTCAGTTCATTGGCTCTGCAAGATGTCCTGAGTTAAATAGTAATCCATCTGTCAGTTCTAATGAGAATGTGTTCACAAGCTATTTTTGCATACATAATGAGCCCATGACCTTTGACCTTTGATCTTATGAACCAAAAATCTACTCAGTTCATTGGCTCTGCAAGTAACATACATGACCTAATTTTGGCAGGAATCCATCAATCGGTTCTTGAGAACGCGATCACGAGCTGTTTTTGCATACATAATGTGCGTTGTGGCCTTTGACCTTTGACCTCATGACCCCAAAATCTAATCAGTTCATCTGCTCTGCAAGTAACATACATGACCTAAGTTTAGCAGCAATCCATCAATCGGTTCTTGAGATAACGCAATCACGAGCTGTTTTTGCATACATAATGTGCGCTGTAGCCTTTGACCTTTGACCTCGTGACCCCAAAATCTAATCACTTCATCGGTTCTGCAAGTAACATACATGACCTAAGTTTGGCAGCAATCCATTACTCGGTTCTTGAGATAACGCGATCACGAGCTGTTTTTGCATACATAATGAGCCCTGTGACCTTTGACCTTTAACCTCATGACCCCAAAATCTAATCAGTTCTTTGACTCTGCAAGATACATACATGACCAAAGTTTGGCAGGAATCCATCAATCGGTTCTTCAGATAACACGATCACGAGCTGTTTTTGCATACATAATGAGCCCTGTGACCTTTGACCTTTGACATCGTAACCCCAAAATCTAATCAGTTCATCGGCTCTGCAAGATACATACATGACCAAAGTTTGGCAGGAATCCATCAATCGGTTCTTCAGATAACGCGATCACGAGAACGGGACGTACGTACGTACAGACGTACGTACGTACAGACGTACGTACAGACGGACGGACGGACAACCCGAAAACATAATGCCTCCGGCTACTTCGTAACGGAGGCATAAAAACCCCACCACCCTGACCCTACTTCATTGTATGGATGCAAGGTGGGGTATTCTGCAGTTAAGCCAAGAATTTCATCAATTCTCACCATTCAATGATCGAAAGAATTCCATCAAAGTGAAGATAGTCAACGAGTGCACTTTGAATCCCAAAATGGTTTCAGAGGTGTACTAAGTGTTAATAAACCGAATATGAGGTACAAATTTTTTAATAAGCTACAATTTTTACTCTACTTTACTTTGACTTGACTTGAGATTCATATCAATAGTATTCCTATACATAAGATAAAGGTGATTGAAACACAGCAATTGATTGAACGGCTTTTGCAATCCCCATGACAGTTCCCAACTCTTTATAATATATGATAGAACGAAGGTGAAAAATGCATTTCAAATGAAATGGATGAACTAAACACTAGAGTCGACAACATTTCATATGGGAATACAGAGTCTGAATAAAAGAGAAATTAGAAATCTGAAATGCTATCTCACCATCCAATTGCAGTAGCATGTTGGTCCTGAGTAGGTTCTTGGCGCGTGCTACCTCTGACTCTGTCACACTGGTGCACAGGTACATCCACTGGTTCTGGACATGGTACACCATGTCTTCAACGCTCAGAGGGTCACTCACCATGTATACTCCCCTGTAGTAAAAGACAAAGAGATCATGACATTGATGGATCAAACTTGTATTACAACAAGCTAAATTTGTTGCCTGATATCAAGAAGACTTTAAATGAGTATCCACTGTACAACAGTATTAAATCTGTCTTCAGCTGCTATCTGGGCAACACTGCTTCCATGTGGAAATTTCTGGCCCATGGCAAACATATTGGATCTGTCTTCCTTTCCTCCTTATTCATAACATATACTTATTAAAAGTCCACAGTATTAACAGGCACCTATTTACAAATGATAAATTGCCACCTTCCTCCCAGTTTTAGAGGTGAACTGAAGTCATTTCCTTAAGTTCGTATTTCTTATTACAATACACCCTTATACAGTTCTCAAATACATATCAAAGCTTAAACTCATTTCTCTCTCTGAAGGGAAGGATATGAATGGCAAATATTTTGGTTTTTATTAATTGACATTCAAAATTCTGACAAGAAAAACCGTTTTCATGGTGCTTCAACATTATACTTCACAGACAATGGCTCCCAGCCTTATTTCATCAAAGATTAGAAGTTGCGAGTGGGTTTCAAGTTAGGGTTAAGTTAGAATGAGTTCAGGAATCAATTAGTGTAGGATATTGGCCATGGAGCAATCGCCAGTGGAGCAATCGCCAGTGGCGCATGTGGTATACAACTCATTCTTACCAAAGGCCTGTGTCGGTGTAGCAGGTATTGAAGGCCTGGAAGGAGTGGCAGATGTTGTCTTCATATGCAACTCTGGCAAGTCGACTCGATGTGTTCTGTAAATATGCAAAAAGATCAGGATATGTTTATTTTGATGAGCCGTCTCTGAATTCTACAAAATACAACTATTAGTGGTCTCATAAAAACAGAGCATATCTGATGAAAATACAACCGGATATCATTGGAAAGCTGAATGAACGTAGAATACAAATACAGAGGAATAACAAGATTTTCCCTTTTCGCTCCGAAAGGACACAATTGCATATAATTGATATTCTTGAAATCTATGGCTTATAAGCTTTCCTTTGATGATAATAGTTCACTTTTCACTTCCAAAGGGTCTTTATAAAAAAAAAATCCACAAATTGCATATTTAGATGCCACATCTCTACAAGTGTATGGGACTACAAGATCAGTAACACAACTGCCTGAAGATGTTATGCAGAGTTCTTTTTTTCAGGATGCGGGGGGGGGGGGGGGGGGGGGGGGGGGGGGGGGGATAGATGATCAACATAACAAATAATACAAATTTGACTACACTTTATGATAAATTATTGGTAAAAATGGAAATTTGTTACTTACTGCTCCACCTCCGAATGAACGATCCCAACTGCCAATCAACTGAAAATAAACGAAGAAACGTTTCATCAAATCACGATCACAATCAAAACTGCCTTCATTAATTAGCCCATGTTAATTCAAATTAAGTACCTACACAAACAAATCTATGTTTATGTACTTCTTTTTCTCAGAAAGCTTGCAAATTAAGGCTGGAGAGCCATGCAAGGGCATCATCGGACACACAATGGAGTTCCTTGATGCCTCCTGAGAAGCATAACAGCATGTAGTCATTGATATTTGGCCTAAATACCAGTTTCCAAGTGCTTTAGATAAAAAACCAAGTTGATTTTTGCTGAATAAAACATTATTTACACTGGATATTTAATGATAACAAATACATGACATCTGCCAATTGGTTTGCATAACATTATTTTTAAAGCTGACATTCGACAGTTTGGCTAGTACCGGTAGTCCTGACAAATACATATCATGCTGTTGCCTAATTTTGTTCTACACAAATGAGATATCACTTGATATATCTCCTACTAGAAAATACTAAGGCAACACTGACAATACATTTTATTTTTTAATCAGAAGCTTGCAGTCTGGTCAGCATCTTATAAGCCTTCATAAAACTAGATGGAACTTCGACTGCATGACCCAAGTTTGGCAGGAATCCATCAATCAGTTCTCGAGATAACGCGATCAAGAGAACGGGACGTACAGACGGACTGACAACCCGAAAACATAATGTCTCCGGCTACTTCGTAATGGAGGCATACAAACATAATGTAGTAAAGATGTCTTACCGTGTTGGCCACCATGAGAGGGATGTTATCAGGGTGGGCCCAGCCGACACCTTCAACACACAGGGCAATGTGGGCCAGTGGCATCTTGTCATCACGGACAGTGATCTGTAGGCACAATAATAAGTTAAGATATATGTAACTGAAATTCAGAAGGGCATCGGTTTGTTTTGTTTGGATGGGGGAAATATGATTTCATTCTTAAGAAAAAAGCTTTCCGATATACCAATGAATAGCATCAATGCATTGCAGCACAACACTGGCAACTCAAATGCGAATTCGAGTTAGCTGCAGCTTTACTAAAATTCTAAAAACCATGCACCATGTTTTTGTGTGTGTTTGTTTTGTTGAAATCTAAAATTCCTGACTCATGAGGAAATGAGGGTACATTATACATTTAACATGCATTTAGTAGTTTCGGCTATACTCTTGTCATGATATCATTTTCATAAAAACTCATTGGATGTCACTTGATATTTTCAGGTCATAAGGAATTTGTCCTGAATAAGTAAAGCAATGAGAAACATATGCTACATAATGAATAATCTATGCTCCATTTGAATGAAAGTGCCTTGCTGTTTCCATTAGGCTTTTTCATGTGTTTTTGAGGCAAATAGCCATCACTCTGTGTCCATGTTTTAGATGTTTCAATGCCTTCATGATCCTAACCTCATAGGAATTTTTATTTCAATACAAATTGTTCACAACGAAGAGGAACTTACGCCACTGCCGGTGAATCTGCATGGGGTCAGAGCTGGGATTTCATTCTCATATTCAGTTCCCAGGTTGCCAAAGTGCTTTTCAGCAAGTTTGACCAGTTCGTCATGGTTGACACCACCGGCTCCTGAGAGCACGATGCGAGGTCCCTTGTAGTGAGTAGAGATGTAGTTCTGGAGATCATCCCTGTTGATAGACCTATTATGACATCACAGGAAAAAGAGTATGAATGTACCTTTTCAATAATTAATCTCATTAGTCATTCCTGAAAAACAACTCATATTTTGCATTTACTGGCTTTGATTATTTACAGGGCCCTGGGAGAATTCATTCTTAGTATATCTCCTTCACAAGTCCTCCACTACATCTGCATGAACGTATGTAAAAGGTATGATCAGAAAGGGTGCAATGTAACGGTAGCAAGAATGCATATGCTGGAATACTTTAATTGTCAGGCATCCCTTTCCTTTATTTACCATGTGACATCAATATATTTCATGTCACATGAGGGATATTTTTAACCAAAGTATCATCTTCAATTTATCTTTACACCGTTACTGACCACAAAATGTAACCCCTTCCATGCCTGGGGCAGAGTAGTCTAAGTATGGATTATGGTAAGCTTTCCCAAAGCAGAAAAATATGACACACATTGAGAAGATTGTACTCAGAGACTAGTTACGCCTCATCTGAAGGAGGAACACTCATTTAAATCCATCATTTAACTCATGCTAATTAATTTTGATGTATTAATGTTCATAACTGTATCGGCACAGAAGGGTATCAAGATGTAGTCATGCAAGAAATCATGTAGGCTGTGTATGCTGTCATCAGGACACCTGTTTTGAAAATAAGAATGATTGTTCTTTGGTGACATACCCAGGGGTGATAGTGAGCACAAAAAAAAAACCAAAAAAAACAAAAAATCCCCTCAACCACGCCCCCCTTGAGTAAAAAAAGAAAGAAGAGGATTGATTCGGGGGAAAAAATGGCATCTAACAATGTTCCCCCCCCCCCTTTTGAGTAAGAAAAATTGGGAAATAATAGGGAAGAATAGAGAAAATAAGGGAAGATAAAGGGATTTTTATCAGGCCTGCATACCTGATGTTTTCAGTGGGTCCTAGGATAGTCCTACCCAGAGGTGTTCCTTGGTAAGCTGTAGCGTGGAGATGATCAAAGATGACCTCTTGAAGATTTGTTTCAACTTCCTATGAAAAGAGAATGATGAAAGAATATTTATAAGATGTTACATATCTGTTTGATAATAGTGAATCCATAGAACACAAAAGTGAGGATGTTTTCATTTGGCTGTCTATGGAATGGTGGTACAATAACACCAAAATGTTAACTTTTTCCTCAAGCTAGAAATACGACTGCCTTGTGAATGCCACTGATGGCAACATGCCCTTTCTGACATTTTCTTGTTAAGTTTTAACTTTTAAACATATTTATCAAGTTTTCTCGAAATCAGGATATCTGTCAAAAAGTCATGTGACATTTTATCGTCCATGATGTCAAACTACAATATTCATTCACAAACACATAAAACATATCTTCTTTTTTCATCAACAATGCAAACTGTAACTTCAATATATAGTCATGTTTTACCTTTATCCATTTCAGAAAACAGAAAACACACAAATTTGCAGAAGACGTATTACAATGGAAGATACGACAATGACAACACACCTGCATTTCTCGGAGAATGACACCCCTCTCCCGCTCAATCTCAGCCTCTCCTAGAGTGCTGTTCTGAATGATGTCAGCAAGGATTTCAACAGCTGTTCAGAGACAAAAAAAGAATACTTGTTATCAATAACACATTACAAAATTGTTATAAGCTAATTAAATCCTTGCCTTTGATTGGCTGTGAGCAGATATCAATAGATCTGTGGTAGTAGTTATTGAGTTTTATGAAACAGGACCCAGATTCACATGAATATGTATCTCTGTCTCTGTATCTATGTATTAATGGGACTGGGAGAATTGAAGATGATTTAATATACAAATCATCCCACTATAATCTGTTTAAGTCATCATAAAATGTCAGATTATTGAGGGAGTTGTCTAGAAGAAAGACATTACCCGATATTCACTTAAAAGCTACGGTACTTTAAGTTGTTAAAATTCCTACCAAGCGATTGCCAAGTTTCCTTACGAGGTTGGTATACATTATACACTGAAATTCCATCAACTCCGCTAAAAATACTAACCCTCACAACAAAATGTAAGAAATTCGATCGAACTTGGTACTTTCTTTCTTTTGATGATGTACAATATTGATATCCTAACCATCAATGAGAAATAAGGTCATCAATAACAGCAATCAAAACAGTCAGTTGAATGGTGACAGAAATCAACAATGGGATATTTACCTCTGGGGACATCTGACTCAAAGCATTTGGCATAGTATACTGTCTGTTCCCTCGAGGTGTATGCGTTGAGGTGAGCACCCATGTTTTCTATCTCCAACTCCAGCTCCATCTGTGTTCTGTTTGATGTGCCCTGAGAATGAGTCAGTCCAAATCAAGAGGTTAAAGGTATAGTCAGTTTTGGAAACGCCCCCCCCCCTCTCAAAGAATGTAATGGAAGATCTTATTACCAATCATGTAAAAGAATATGCTTTGACTAATACGTGGTGATACAAATTTTTGACTGGAAACCGCCTACTAATTGATATATTTGGTAAATCATTATATCTATTATAGTAGTTGCATATACATCTTTCTGTGTACAGTGCTTGTAACTTTACCGAGACTTTGCCAAATTTCTGATCATTTTGATGATTCCAGAACCTTGCAGTACACACCAATACTTATATGCTAGAAGATCAACCTTTTCTGATCGATTCCACAACGTTTCTTTCACAATGCAATAGCATGAACAGAACTGGTCTATACCTTTAACACTTGGTCCAGCATTGGCAAACAAAATTTTGGTTAAAGATGCGAAAGAACATTCACTGCCATACAGCAGAAATGCTGTCCAAAATGTATGTGATGTTTTAACACTTGTTATTATGTCAATATTTTAAACAGCAGATCCCCACTGAAATAGCTTGATTTTTTGTATTCATGTCTTGCTGAGTTTTCATCTACATTTGAGCAATAACAGACATGAGATCAACTGTATAAACTTTCATTTACAATCTTCAGTTTCAACCACAATGATCTTTCTGACCAACTTGAGAACTGTAGTTAAAATTAAAAAATTTAAGAGGCAATCAGTAACAAATTTGTAATCTGAAAAAGAATTCAAATTTTGTATAAGCTTGACAAAGACTATGGCATACCTGCCAACATTTGAAAATGAGAATTAAGAATTTTGAGCACGGTATGTCTTTGAAAATAAGAAATCCGTACCCTTAACAGGCGTTCGCACATGCAGCGGCAGTGTAACTGGCAATACGCGGTAAATCTGTGCAAAAAAGCGAATACAAATTCGCTGCTCAATCACGCAGCCCTTCAACGCACGCAATACGTGAACTCTCACATCGTGGCATATGATAAAACAAGCTTAATTTGGCTTAAGCAACACAAACAAAAACAAACAAAAAAAAACACAAAAAAAAAAAATTGAAATTTTGAAAATCCGGGATATCCTGCATTTTGGGGTCCTAAAAATCATAAAAACGGGATATTCCGGATTATTCGGGAGGGTTGGCAGGTATGCTATGGTAGTGTCAGTAATTCAAACATGGATATTCCTCTCATAACATCTGTGTATGAATCGATTTCAAAAAACCATAAGATGTTATAAACAATCTGATTTCTAATGAAATTGGCCAATGGGACTTGGGGAAGACTTATGATTGATGGCAAAATTATATAAACAATCATAAATCCAGTTAACCTGGAATGAGCAATTTATTAAAAGCTCTTTTTGTTGATCTTTACACAAATCAAATGTACGGTAACCAGAGATCTGATGCATACAACTTTTGAATGGCTGCATGACATGGGTAATCATATTTCCCCCAAGATTGGCCCTAACAAGCCAGTGTTAGAGAGGTTTGCCACTGAACACAACTTCTTTTCCATCAAACACTGGTGTCGGTGTTACACAAGTTTATTCTATTGATACCTTGAATGCCATGTGCTCCAGGTAGTGGGCCACTCCATTGTTCTTTGCGTTCTCGTATCTGCTTCCAGCATCAATCCATAAACCAACCTGGTAGAGGTAAAAAAACAAGACAAATTATTAGTGAAAGCCAAACTACCTAAATATATTTAACTACCAATTAAATCAAATCCCATTACCTATTACTATGCATTTATCCCCCCCCCCCCCAGGTAAAATGGATACAATCTTACAGAAAAGGGAATAGAAGTTAGATCTATCAATATTTTTCTTCACAAATAACTTTAAAGCTGCAAATATCACACAAGAACATTTACTATATCTCTTTCTCTTACATGGATTTTTAATTGTTACTGAAAAAAAAACTTTGCTTTCATTGGTTTAATTAATCTTAATTTGATTTCTTAAGCCCAATGATACTACTTCTATCACATAAAATTAACATTCACACTGTCTTGTAAGAACTATATAAATCGGTAGAATCAGCACTTACTGTGGCTGTGGGGATTCCAGAGTCTTCACTGGATACACGGAACCCATTGTTGAGTGTTGTCACCCTTGTTTCCGGTACATTGACAAGGGTCTCTGAAGCTGTCTGCGTCGATCTCAATCGACTCCCTGCATTACGCCCCTGGAATACAATGCAAACAAAGGTAAATACTATATTTAAAAATTTTACGAGGTGAAATTTTTTACAAAACTTAAAAGAGTATTTAGAGGTCTAATGTGTGGCTTGCATGTTACCTTTGAAACCTAATCTCTGTGTAGATAGCTTACCAAGACTGCCCTAGTGCCTGTTGATAGTAGCGCAACACCTCCTTAGTACAGAGCATTAACAGTGTGAGGGAGCAAAAGTGCACGCATGAGCCGCAGAATCTAACAACATCGCTATGCAGAGAATTTTGGGGGGAAAAACAACTGGCAAAAAACGTTTAAATGTTAGTGTGCTAATCATTTTTTCTGGGTACACACACGCTGAGCGAGTGACCTGATATCAGCGCACTAAAATTTAGCATCCTGCATGCGTCACATAGAATCCGGGCTAACTCGGACCAAAGACAACTCGCCCCAGCTGCAAAAACGGTCATTTTTTTTTCATTCTACCCTAATTCTAACCCTAACCCTAAACCTGAACCTGGGCCGAGTTGTCTTTGGTCCGAGTTAGCCCGACTCCATCACATCACACATCACCACATTTCAGTGCTGTACTAACCACTCGACAGCACTTTCCGAAAACAAAAAGTTAATGCTTTTAAATGTGCGCACCCCCTCATCCTCCTTGTTTGGTTGCAATCGCCAGCCACCAACGCGCGGGTCGGAAATCAGAATCGTCAGCAAAAATGTTGTTAATCCTTAAATTTACGGATGCATCTGTCCGCGTTTACGAAGACAGTCCTCGTTTGTGCAGATGATCCCGTTCTCGGACCAGCAGTCCAGCACCCCTACTGATAATTACCAAGCCCTTATTCAGGCTACAACTCTCAACAAAATAAAAGAAATATGGCATGGTATTCAGCAATAATGGTCAGAAACTGACCGATTTGCCTAAATTAAACAACAACGACAACATGTTAGTCAAGACTCAAGCTCGAGGAGTCGAGTCATAAATTTGAATCATGATGAATGTTTGGATTTGGGGAATGTTTGGATTTGGGGAAAGTTTGGTTTGTAATCACATTCACATTAATATAGATCGATAAATGACTATAAAGTACCATTCAACAGGTTAAAAGCGCGTTGATAGGTTCAAAACTAAGACAAAGGAGCACCAGCACTAAACTCCCGAACTGGCTGAAATTGAAGAAGCGCTCAGGCCTGCGCCTATGCGATGCGGTGGGGTTTCGTCACCGCTTTAGTATACGCCACTACAGCTACCGGCACCGTTACCGTCAGCACGGGCATGTGCATATGAAGAATCAATTATGCAAGATTACCGGTGTTTTTATAACACATATTTTACCTGCTAAATGCATGTTAAAGATCATTAAAATACATCACTACATCAAATATTATCTATTAAACTATAATATAGAAAAAAGAATTCATACCGCATGTGATTTGGTTGCAAATCTGGATAGAATTCCAGAAGTTCGGGGTAGCCAAGACGCCATTTTGAAGGTTTCAATCTTCACGTAGTTCGCTCGATCACTTACTGACCTTTCTACGTATAGAATGTGTGTATACATAGCGGGGAGCAGCGAATGTGTATGAGCGATGGATACGTGCACAGACCTTTGGAAGCTCAAAAATCTTTTTTCTTTCCATATAGATTTCTAGGTCTAGTATTTGGCAAAAGTGTGTGTACATACTCTAAAGGTCAATAAAAAAATGCATCTGAAAATTGCTGGAGCAAGTCTTGAAGTAAACATGAAAAAGGCAGATCCTAGATTGTCCAACAGGGAGTCGAACTTGGCCGGGGGAATCATATGCATGAAGATCGACCTCTGAATGAAGGAATTTAGGGAAAGGGGCACTTTATTGCATCTAAAAAGGGGCACTTATGAGATTGAAAAGGGGTCACTTCTTACACCGACAAAAAGAGGAACTCACCAAGGATGAAAAAAGGCACTTATGAGAATTGGAAAAGGGCATTTGTGGACGGAAATGGGACACCCATCATATTTTGATCGGGGGCATTTATAAGAGGGGAAAAGGGGCATTTATAAACAAGGGTTGCTCCCTTATTATAGAAAGGGGGAAATGGCACTTAATATTGCTAAAAGGGAAATTATCAGAGGTGATAAGGGGCACTTATTGCAGCTGAAAAGAGGCACTCAACAGGGATGAAAAAAGGGCACTTATGAGAATTGGAAAAGGGCATTTGTCCACGGAAATGGGGTACCCATCAGATTTTGATAGGGGCATTTATAAGAAATGAAAAGGGGCATGTGTGAAAAGGGGGTAGCTCCCTTATTAGAAAGGGAAATGGGGCACTTATTATTGTTAAAAAGGGACATTATCGAAGGTGACAGGGGGCTTTTATGAGAAAAGTGAAGTGGCTCTAATTAAAAAGAAAAAGAGACACATGTTAAAATAAACGGGGAAATTATCAGAGATGAAAAGGGGTAAAAAAAAAAATAAGTAGGAAAAAGAGCATTTATTAGAAAGGAAAAGGGGCACGTGTTAAAATTTTCAAAATAAAAGGGGCATTTATTAGAGATGAAAATGGACACTCATCAAAGATGAAAAGATCAGTTATCAGGCGGGGAGGGGCACTTGTCAAAGTAAAACGAGTATATATCAGATTTTATTAGAGGCAATCATCGGAGGTGAAGGAGGCACTTATCTGAAATGAAAAGTAGTAACTTCTCGAAACCTGAAAAGGTTCATTTGCCAGAGATGAAAATGGGCATTTATAAGAAGGGGAATGGGCTCCTTTTGACCCCCGTGAGGGCATCCTCTAAAATGGCTTGTTAAAAATGATCCTCACCGTATATATGAAATAGCGATAGCTTAAAAATAAATAATTTACACAAAATCAAGATTACAAAATAAAAAGAGGGGAAAAAAAGAAAACAGAGAAAAGGAGGAAAAAACATTGCAGAAAGATTTGACATTATAAGTATAAGAACTTTTCACTAAGATATTGCTTATAATTACGTTTAAATTAGTTGATTGTCTTATTATTCTTAATTGATATAGGAAGGTTATTCCATGAAACTGAGCCGTTCTAGAAGATGGAAAATAAATGAGCGACAAGATTACGAAGAATAGAGGCAGGAAGGTGGAGGATATGGTAAAAGAATTACATAATCTTTACCTGTCATCCCTTTTCTCCTTCTCGCTTTATTTCTCCTTTCCATTATATTCATTTACATTTGTACCCTTCGAAGGGAGGATCCACATAACTTCAACACACGCTGAATGAAAGGACTACAATATTCTAGTTTACTGATGCTCACGAGCATAGAGACGGGTTACTTGTATAATTTATCTGTATCGTCCATTTAGCATAGCCTTCATTAGTTGTTGTTATATCATGCATCAAAATGTATGGTTTTTGATTGGTTGAGAATTCTTCACGTGACCAGAAATATTGCAATCAAATAAGGTGGCTCTGAAAAAAGTATCTGGGAGTACTATTTGGGAGTTCAATTTGGGAGATAAATTTTAAGATTTTACCAAAATTGTAAAAATGTTAAAGGTAATGCAAAGTTTTGGAAAATTTGGAAAATTGGATGGATAGTAATTCTTTCAAAATTTGATACATTTTGGATGACCCTGTGGATGTATTATGAGCACTAGAAAACCTAATTTAGTTGAATTTGTATACAATTTTTTTCTTTTTAAATTTGATAAATTTTAGAATGTTAAAAATGTTAACAGATTTGATTAAACAAATATAACAAAAAAAATTGCAGGATATAAAACAAATATACCTTGCCTTCTTTTCGAGGTAGTAGTTAAATTATGGGCCTCGGTGACCCCAATAGTATAAAAATATATACGGTCTTGAGAGGTTAAAACTATGGGCAAGACGTGAATAGTACCATTTGCTGAGGGGCACAGCCCCGAAGTAAATGGTATTATATCCGGCATCAAAAATGTATTGGCTTTTGATTGGTTGAGAGCTCAACTATTTTAAGGTTGCTCTGTAAAAGTACTAATTGAGAGTACTATTTGGGAGTACTAGTAGGGGATTTAATTTTTTTTAGATTTTTTTTTTTTTTAATTTGATATTTTTTTTCAAATCTTAATCTTAATTTGTTTTTATTTTTAATTCTTTTTTAATAAAAATTGTCTAAATTTCAATAAAAATTTCACCCCCCCCCCCCTTTTTTTTAAATATTTTTTTTTTTTTCTTTTCGAGGTACTGGTTAATACTATGGGCCTCGGTGACTCAGCAAATTGTAGTACTATTGGAGTCCCCATTTGCGCATAGTTTTAACCAGAACCTCTCTAGACAGTGTATATTTGTATACTATTGGAGTTTTAATTTAAAAATTGAATATTTTAACGATTTAAAAATTCATTCTATAAAAACAAATTACAAAACATTATTTAGAGACAAATTTAAAATTTGAAAATTTTAATAACATTTTAAAATGTTAATAACATTTTAAAATTTAAAACTCCCAAATAGTACTTTTTCAGAGCAGAGCAGGTCGAAATATTTCTGGTCAGGCGAAGAGCTCGCAACCAATCAAAAACCACACATCTTTTGTGCAGGATAATAATACCATTTACTTGGGGGCTGCGCGGCCTGTGTCCCTCATCAAATGGTACTATTGAAGTCACCTCTTGCCCATAGTTCCAACTAGAACCTTTCAAGATAGTGTATATTTGTATTCTATTTCGAACAATCGTCAGAGATATTTTTGGTTCGTCAAGTTCACTAGATGAAGCAGAACAAATAAGAAAACTTGACAGACTGGAGAAAGTTTGGAATAATTCGGACCAAAAATAAAAGAGCTATGAATGATTAAAAAATTAAATCACTAAATCTGTACGAATCTCAAATTGGCAATATGGTCAACGGATTGGGACGTAGTCACTGCATCGAAATGGTTTGAGTTCGTTGAGTCACTGACATCTATCCCGTTTGTCGTGTAAACAAATATCCATTATTTCTAGGTTTGGTTTCTCCTAAGTGTCTTCTCAGTGGGGGCGATACTCTAGATATATTATGGATAGCTTATTATTTTAGAACTCAAAAAGAAAAGAAGCTCTCTATATAGTCATACGTCAAAATGACATTAGGTAATTCCATAAATTAGTGACCAACTTTGTGACATTTTTGGTTTTCCTGTTACATAAGGAGCCCACACGTATTTTTGGCTCTGAGTAAATCCTTTTAAACAGTTGAGTATGATTCTAGGTATGAGGATGCAATATTATGCTTGGAAATCACTTTACAATCTCACTCCACTATTTAAGTCCTTACTCAGAGCCACAAATACGTGTGGGTTCCTTATTTAATAGGGACACCAAAAATGTCATAAAGCGGGTCCCTAATCATTTTATGGAATTACCATTACCGATTCAGCCAAATTACGTACAATGATTTTAACTTTGTTATTTTTTGTCCGATTTTCATTCACACTTTAGTGACTCTCTTCAGTCTGCTTTTCTGAAGTTTCCGCTTAAAAAAATAAAGAGTAGATGTTTATTAAAGTTGGATTTTCCTTTAAATTTTGTTTGAGGGGTATGTACAGTGAACGGGTGTCGGAGAAAAGGAGGTAGAATAAGAACAATGGGGGAATAGGTTCGAGTAGAGCCTCGCAACAAACCAATATGCGAGGGACAAAATGGGTATAAACTCGATGAGGGGAGCGTGTGCCCCGTCAAATCTGCTTACGTAGAAACACGTATACACATTAAACGTGATGTAAATAAGAGAGAATAAGGAGTTTGGCGGTAGGGAGGAGAGTTAAAATATAGGCGACTTGCAGACAAACGATGGTGTATAGAGAGAGAGAGAGAGAGAAGGGGGTTAGAATGTGTAAGTGATAAAGTAAAAAGAGATAAAGAGAGATAAAGAGAGAAAAAATAAAGATGGCTGGGAGAGAGAGAGAGAGAGAAGGATTTGTGGTTTTGCATCGCAACCGATGTAACATGCAGCGGTACATGTACACGATTTTACAAGCTAGACATACACAAGTGGTACTCAAGATTTTATATTCACGGATGAGGCTCTCTACCTTGACGCCATAGAACGTGAGTTGTTCTTCGATGGAATGGCGTCTCTCAAGTTGCATGTCGTTTTGCCTCAGGTACGGTTGTCTGCATGAAATAAATTTTCACAGCATGTTTTTTTCCAAAAGTATATCCTTTCCTACACTCTAAAAACTGAAATGTTAAATCCCAATTTAAAAGGGCCGAGGAGTGACCACTCTTTCAAAATGTCAGATTGTAAATTCTAATATGCTGGATTCAATAGTGTTGGATCCAGCATGTTCAAAGTGTTAATATACCATTTTGAAAGAGTGCCCACTCCTCGGCCCTTTTAAATTGTGATTTAACATTTGAGTTTTTAGAGTGTTTCATAAATTGTATCTAAAAAGCTTATATTGCTACTTTTTCAATGCTTGTCGCCTTTTCTCCGTAGCCTACATATTTTTGAAACTCAATCTAGTCTTCCTTTTTTTCCTGTCATGATATCTGAGAATATTCTTCTAAACCCGTTTTTTCCATTTACATTACGTTTATCCCAAGCATCAAGAGTTCAGACT